TATCAGTAACATTCTGACTCCAAAGTCAATCCTATTTTTGCTTAGTCTGATATGTTGTGGAGTCCTAGTCACAATGCAGTGGCTGGATTCCCTGCTGGTGTGGTGCTGGATGCATCCAAAAGCCTATTCTATGCCATTCCTCTTTAGAAACTCCTCTGCTATTGAGTTGAAGCATTCGCCATTCCCCCCCCTTAAATGAATACGAAACAATAAGGTACAACAGCGAGATATAGAGAGTATATAACTTTGTCCTCCTTATTTCTAATCTTTGATCTGCCTTTGTCGTGTCTGTCCAAAAACGCCACCAAATGTTGGGACCTGATTTGTGAGTCTGTCAATCAGCATAGGTTCTGTCGGCTCCTCTGGCTTTGTGGCTGTCTCTTTTCAGCAGATTAGATGTTTTCCTAATGAGAAGAACATCCTGCCTGGGCATCTCCTAGGTTAAAGAAACGTGGACTAAAGAAAATAGAGGAATAGCTCAGAGAAGCAAGAGTCCTAGGCTCAGCAGCATATCCTCATTGCCAAATTCTGTCCTGCTTCTCTTGCCTCGGAGAAAGTTTTCTACAGTTGGGAGGCATGCGGTGTTTCACTGTGCAGAAAGGACTTTGCAATTCATTCACAAAGCCAATCTAATGCCTCCAAACCTTCTTTCCAAATCTCCCTCTGCCCTTTACCTGTGGTAACTTGGGATCGTTGATGTCCCAGGTTAACTTCATTCCAAAGGAACAGATGTAGTTAGATTCATCAAAAGGTGCCTTCGACATTTTCACCATGAATCTAGAAGAACCTACTTATTAAAAAAAAAAAAAAATAGGTACTTCTCTTGTTCCATCATTTGGAGATAAGGTTTCACTTCAGATTGTTAAAAAGCTCAGTAATATTCTTTCTGGTCATGAGATTTTTCCTGACTCATACAGTTATGACTGTTTAAAAACACTGGACAAGTTCTTTGCACTAACAAATAACATTTTGTACCGGTCATATAAATTTATAGAAATGAAAATGATCACACAGTTTTTCCTTAAGCACAAGTGCACAACAGCTGCTTATGAACACAGTTTAGTGCTGCACATCTAGTTGGTGTTCACTCATACATTCAGTTTTAATGTAAATTCATATAGAGAGTATCATATATAACAATAATTTATGTATTTAATGTATATACATACTGAAAGTTATGGCAACACATGTGCACACACATACATACACATGCAATTTTATGCATGGTCAAACTAGGTCAGGTATAATGTGTGAAACTATCCTGTGGGCTATAATATTACAATCCAAAAGAATGAATTCTTGTGTCAAATATATGCACACATTATATATTGTCTGGAACAATGGCTGAAAAAAATAGTGGCTAATTTGCCTTGAGGCTGCAATTACATTATAATTCAAATTTCCATATATATGATTGAACAATTGTTCATTTGTTTTAATATATATAGTAAATGGATTATGATTGAACAATTGTTCATTTGTTTTAAACCTACCTGTAGCAAACTTAGGTCTCTTTCCCTCAGTAATAGTTACCCGTCAGCTAGGAAATAATTGCTATCATCTGCATATATAACTAAAGGTAAAGCATAAGAAATGAAATCTGAGAGAACAGTAGTTTGCTTAAATATAGGTAGTGAATTCATGACTAATGCGAAATTTGAACTGGCTTCCATTTTTGCACTACAGCAGTTTCTCTGAAATACAGATTAATATGGGGACATAGGATTCAGATCAATCAGGCCCAAATCTGTACTCAGTCAACAATTTACAATTTCTCAGCAAAATCTATGCCAGAACTATGAGGATAAAATAGAGGGAGGAACAAGAAAGAGAAATGAAGGCCTGTGCAGGCAAACCACCTTCAAAACTTTAAAAGGAAGACAGGAAGAAAACATAACTAGCCAGTTTGGTCTAGTGGTTAAGGCACCAGGCTAGAAACAGGAGAATCTGAATTCTAGTCCTACTTTAGGCATGAAAGCCAGCTGGGTGACTTTGGGCAGTCATGCTCTCTCAATTCCACTCACCTCTTCTTGTTGTGGGGAAAATAGGAGAATGAAAGAGTAATAGACACGTTCACCACCGTAAGTTATTTATAAAAAATAATGAAAGCTGGATAAATAAAAATAAATAGCAGCAGCTCAGTTTTTACAGTATGTGTAGAAGTGAGTGGGTATATGTGAGAAAGGAACAATAAAATGTTTGGAAAAAACTTTTCCAAAAGACCTGTTAGTATATATAAATGCTTCATGGGAATAGCTGACATAACAGAATTTCTTCTTAATAAGCATGCATAGATTTTTACAGTCAGGTATAACTTTGTGAACCTGCCTTGAAGTTCTGCACCGTGTTGTCCTCTTACCCTTTCATAAATGCCTTGCCTCTGTCCACTTCCAGCAGTGCTGAAATCCACCGGAGACTGCACTTTCCTTCCTGAGCTTGGCTTCAAATCTGTTCATATTAGCAAGGGCATCTTTTTTGTCCTCAACTTTCACCCTCCCACATACCTTTCTCTGCTGCGTTGAAAGCACGTCAGTGGCAGCTCCTCCCTGATTTATTCCACAAGTTTTCAAGCACTAAGTACTGCTGATCCACAAACCAGTCAGCTAGAGCTATGTCATCTGAGAGGGAAGTCATGATCCTGAGACGAAGTACATTTCTTTTTCATAGCTAAATTCATGTATTCAGGGTGTGGAGGCCCCAAAAGAAACATAAAGCATTTTCACTGTGATCCATAAACAGTTTGACCCTTTCTACTTGGGCTTAATTATTGGTTGTTCCAGACCTCGTTTACACCTTGAAAATTTGAAGACAGCCCACAACTGCTTACAACTGAACATCTCAGATGTGTTGGGTTATCATTATCTCCAATGAGCAAAGTCATTAGAAAGCAAGGCAAGTTGAGCATGCTATGGATAATACAAGATATGGCTCTATAATTTAAGGGTGCTTGACTGGGAAAAGAAGGAAGGAAATGGCCTGCAAGAACTTAAATATATTTCTAATTCCAGTGTGTGTATATGTAAAAACGAGAGTCATATTGACTTTAATGGGACTTAACTCACAATCCTTTATAATAGTTTTGGGGCCTATCTGTTTTTTAAAAAATAAATTCCCAAGAAATATAAAATGTTTATAAATCCTCAAATACAGCATCTGCTTAATGTACAGTAGAGAGGGACTTTAAAGAACAAGTTCCTCCAAAACATGTCCCCCCCTCTCTCTCTCACACACACACACCACAAATACATAGGGTGCATATAAATTAATATGTGGAGGTTTTAATTTTTTTATAAGAAGCATTCAGAAAGCTTCAGAAATATAAATACAGAATTGGATAACTTGATAAGAGGTAGATTATCTTCTTAATCTTTAATCATTACCGACTTTCCCAGGAGTGTCAAAACACTGGAAAGCGTTGGATGCAAAGTATTAACCTCTTAAGTAAACCTTACTGACTGTATTACATTGTCTGTTTGGTAAGCCTGGCAATTTTAGAATGGGATTAAGAGCATTGTAATCTTTAAAATTGAGGTTATCAGTAAAATAGCAGATACAGAATTGTACCCTCCTCAGGAAGAAGAAATTGCCAGTTCTAAAAATAAGGGTGGGATATCTAAATTATATTAGATCAAATTATATAAAGCATTTTAGGCAAATCTAACTAGAGTTATGAGAGCCAGTTTGGTGTAGTGGTTAAGACAACTGGCTAGAAACCAGGAGACTGATTTTTACTCCATCCTTAGGCATAAAGTGAGCTGGGCGGCCTTGGGCCAGTCACTATCTCTCAACCTTAGGAAAGAGGCAATGGCAAACCACTTCTGAAAAAACTTGCCAAGAAAAGTGCAGGGACTTATCCAGGCAGTCTCTGAGAATTGGACATGACTGAATGGAAGAAAAAAAAAATGGAATCTTAAACCTTCAGACCTAGCTAGCATTCTTTACATGAACCAGAGCTGAAGTCTTCAAAAGTCTGAAGGAAATAAGATTAGTGTAATATTCCTATGCAATTAATGACATGAAAGATTTGTAGCCTTGGCTGTTATACAATTTTAATGGTGCTTTTGAGTCAATTTAAAAGTTTGAGTCAATTTAAAATAGTCTCCTCCCTCCTACATATCTTAAATCTGAGAATCCAATGTTCAAAATCCAGTTGAACTAAAAAGTTTGGACATGATTAGATGATAGCTTTAGACATCTCTTATTGAGTGAAGGGTTCCAATTGGCCCCTTCTCCTAAGCTATGACATGTATTCTGTAAACAAAACAGGCACATGCACAGCTTCTTTCAAAGACAGCAATAAATATAAGTAATAAAGAATCCAGACTGGGAGACCTAAAGATAATTCATATCATTCTTATACGCAAAAGTTGTCCCAAAAATGGAAGTGTGGCAATATTATTGTTCATTTAATTTGCAATACATCTTCTTTAAATCTGCAACAAACTATTCTGTTAATATTCCCATCACACTAATATGAGCAACACCCCCCTAATAATGAAATAAAAGGATCTTAACATATTGGAGAATGTTTGGTTGAGAACCCAGGCTTATTTGACTGAATCAATATCTGTGATTCAAGAGTGTTTTTAGTTTTGGATATGTCATATATTCTTCCTGCAGCATTTTTCTTGCTGATTTGTATTCCTATGTCCCACTAATATCAGCCAATGTCTTCCTAAGCACACCTACTTAAGAAGCAATGGCTATCGAATCCAAAACTACAACTTTTTCCAAGGTACGTGCAATTGCATTTTAACTTGAGAATAACGTCGCTGAATTTATTGACTTGCTTATTATAGCTATGCCCTTTCTCTCCCTCCCCCCCCCCCACAGGCTTCCCCCACGGAAGCCTCTCCCCTTCTCCCTATGGCCTTCTCGCTCCTTCGTTCTCCTCCCTTTCCCGCCAAAACTTCCTCCCTTTATATGCTCTCCTCTCTCCCCGCCCTCGGGTGCGCCACTCTGGGGTTCAGGTAGAGCTGCCCCAGTCTCAACCCCCCTCCATGCGGTCATCCACTGCCCGGCTGGCCATTGCACGCAGTGCAGATCTCGGGGTCTCAGCCGAGCCCCCGCAGCTCCAAGGCCTGCGTGCTGCTCCCAGCTTTAGCCGAGACTTCCAGCAAGCGCTGGTCAGCTGGAGCCGCGCGCGCCGAACCCTGGGGCTCAATAGAGCCCCGGCTACACTGCAGGTCCAGCCGACTGTCCTCCAGGCCTGTGCGGCGCTGCTGCCGCCCTTTCAGTTCATCCTCCCGCTGCATTTCTAACCCATATGGTACTTCACAGAGGTTGCAGCCTTCTCCTGTGCCCGAATAAACGGAGTTGCGCGGCAAGTGCTGCACTTCAGGATAAGTTCAGGCAAGGAGAACAGTGATTTACTCTTTTATTTGCAAATTCCAACCCACGCTTTGTAACTGAGGCGGCTTAGACGGCGGGGTTAGCCGTGCTGCCCAACCGGCCAAATTCCCCTGTGACAAACAAGACCAGTTTTATGCTCCCAGATGCGTTGGAACTACAATTCAAAATTCCTTGCTGGCTAGGAAATATGGGCGTTGTCGTCTCAACGCGTTTGGGGCGGACGCTATGCCGGAGAAGTAGGACGGTATTTTGTACTTGGCGGCGTTTCGTCTTTGGTGGTACTACCTGGTATTTTGGGGCTGGGATACTAAAGGAGTAATTAGTTAGAGATTGTTTTTCTGTTTAAAATTGGAACCATTCGAGGATTAAAGACGACTTTCTTGCCTCTTTTAAGTGCTGTTTTTAGAGGAGCCGGTTAAGAACACTTTGGCCTTGTATTCATGTGATACGCCAAGAGCCTAGCACCATTTAGGGTTCTTCAATGTGGACTGGGCGTTTCTTGGAGGCCACGAACTCCGTAGAAGGGGGTCACAGCAGCTTTTTTAGTTGATTATGCTTATGCAGGCAAAGTAACAGAACAGTCAAAATTTTCCCTGCAGAAATCTAGAAAGAGTGATTATAGTACTGGAAACTTAAATATTGTGATATATAGAATACAGTACTGGTAGTCCTCGAGTTACAACCACAATTGGGCCCTAAAGTTATGTTGCTAAGTGAAATATTTGTTAAATGAATTTGCCCCATTTTACGACTTTTCTTGCCACAATTGTTAAGTGAATTATTGTATTTGTTAAGTTACTAACATGGTTGTTAAGGGAATTTGGCTTCCTCATTAACTTTGCTTGTTAGAAGGTTGCAAAAGCTGACCATATGACTCCAGGATACTGCAACCATCATAAATATGAATCACTTTGCCAAGCATCTGAATTTTGACCATGTGACCATGGGGATGCTGCAGTGGTCATAAGTGTGAGAAACGGTCATAAGTCGTTTTTTTCAGTGCCGTTGTAACTTTGAATGGTCATTAAATGAACTGTTGTAATCGAGGACTACTTTTAATATAGAATTATTATAAGTAAGTATGTCTATTTCTTGCCTAGCGTTACTTTCAATGAAATCAGTATTTTTATTCTTGGAGGGAAAAATTTGCACAGTCATTTATCAATTAGAGGTGCTATAGTGCGGCCAGATTTGAGAAGTCTTCCCCTAAAAGCAGTCTATTTCAAAGTTGGCACATTGGAACTCTGGAATTTCAGAAAAGGTCCTGATTGTCAAAAAAGAAGCAGCCTTTTTGGGCTGCCCAATGCTAGTGCTTGCAGTGGTGGATATAGGTATGTTGCTGGCCTGCCACAGTTTTACAAAACATTATAAAATTGCGGCTTCTATGGGTTAGAACTAAATTATTTTGAAGTTTTTGTTTTCCATTTCTCTTGTTTAGGTATTATGCTGTTTTGTTTTATATATTAGTGCTAGTAGAATAGAATTTTGTCCTACTGGATAAGGTGAAGAAAAGGTAGGATTTTTATTAAAAGGTAAAAGAAAAGTCTTCTCTGCATTTACATTACAGCTGGTAACTTTTGTGGAGGAGAGAGAATCAAATAATCTACTGAAAAATATCAGTCTCTGTTCAAAAGAGAGTTGACCATTACGATTGTATTATTATTTCTGCAATTTACTGATCATGTTAGCATATTGAGCTCTAGATATCATACATTTCATGCAGGGGTTCCCCAAGAGCTGAAAATTATTTCAAGAGTTATTCCTGAGGAAAAAGTTTGAGAAAGTCTGGCATAAAGTTTTCTGAAACCAGTCCAGTTAATAGATTGTGTGAACAGAGAAAACTGGCTGGGGTAAGCCATGGTTAAGCATGGATAAGTACCTTTTAACTTAATGCAATCAGTTTGAATCAATTTATTATTTTGGAATGAGTTTGGTAAATTCAGAAAGGACTCTCCTCCCATCTATTCCTAAATTAATTTACTAAGCATTGGCTAATTTTTATATGCATAGCAGTATAAGTTTTTTCTGCTTTCGTAATCTAAAGGAGGAAGATATCAGAGAGGAAGAGGAAGAAATGGCAGATATAACTGAATATTACGTAAATATTAAATTTTCACTAAATTGTTAAATCATTTTAAATGTAAAGGTATAAACTGTTTTAGAATCTTTTTTAGGATAACTATTTTAATATGGTCAGAATTATATTGACACAGATTTAAGAATTCAAAAACAATTTGATTCAATTGAGCTAACATGGTATCGCAAGACAGAGCCTCTTCTGCTATTCAGTGAAAACATTTTACACGTTTATTTCTTTTTTTCTGGAAAAAAGAATGATAACAATATGATGGCAAAAACACAAGGGTTGCAAAAAAAATCTCACCCTCTAATCACTTGCTAAAATTCTATGAATGTCAATTGTTAAACATTTCAAAGAAGTCTGAGTTTTTCTATAATTTTATCTTTGTGTTCATATTACTCTGAATAAACTACTTTCATTATTGAATCTTAGTGGAAGATTTTGCTGATATTTTTACATGTTACCAGGATTGTGCATGTACATTTTTCTCCTGGCTTTCTTGTTTTAATTGTAGAATCCTACTTGAAAGAGTCCTCCAAAATAATTTAATCCTACCTTTTGAGTCTGTTACTTTATCCTAGAAATATGGCCACCCAGTCTGGATTGATAAGCGTCTATTGAAAGTGAGGTATCCCTCTCATTAAGTCGTATGTCCTCTGTATTCTGATCTGGCAGAATGATCTTGAGATGATCTGGGGACTACCAAAATGAGGCTTTAGGCCTGTGGGATACCCACCATTGCTATTAAATGCTGGTTTCCAGCTTTGAATTAAGATACCTTGTCATGAGTCTCTCCTATTTATATATATTATGCCAGCTTGCGATTAAGGTAGTAGGCTACATTTGGGGAAATCCCAGTTCTAATTCATAATTAGCCATGGAAAGTCTCTGGATGACTTGAGGTTAATTGCTCTTTTTCAGCCCAGCCTACTGTACAGAGTTGCTATATGATAAAATGAACAGAGTCTCCAAAATAGAGGCTTTGAAGGCTTGAAGAAAAGATGCAGTTTAAAATCTAATAGAAATAAAGTATAAAATTTTACTATAGCATATCACGCTGCTGGAATGAAGCAGATGTTGTGTAAATTTGTTATACTTTTCATACATTTTCTAAGTAACATTGTAACTGCCCGGAGTCATTCTGGATATTGAGAGGGATGGCATATAAATTTAATAAATAAAATAGTAATAATATTGGTATGTTTAGTGGATGTGTATAGCAGAAACAACTTTCCCAGAAAAACTCTATGGAAACTATTTTCAGAGGTTAAACAAGAATATATTCATACAATTTTTGTTTTTTTATGAGATTTAATTCCAAAGGGGTATTGAAGTAGATCTGATACATGCAAATTAAATAATTGAAACTGACTTTTGTGGGCCTAGCCCAGTGTTTCTCGACCTTGGCAACTTTAAGCTTTGTGGACCAACTCTGTCATGCTGGCTGGAGAATTCTGGAAGCTTAAAGTTTATAAGTCTGAGAAACACTAACCTAACCTAATCATGTCTAAGGCTTTTTCCAGATATGTGAAACAACCATTCACATTAGTCTCAAAATTACCAGATGTATAGTCCAACCCAATTAGAAGGGGTTGGTTTGGAGAAGCTTGATACACTGAATTGATAAGAGACATTTTGGAATAAAAGTCAATAAAATTTAAAACTTGCATGCTTTGATCCAGGCAGGTTCATGGCCTAGATTAGAGGTTAGAGGTCTTTTTATTCTTTACATTATTCTTTCAGGTGTAGTGAGAAAATTAAAAGCAAATTTGTGACAGATACATATACTAGAGTAAAAATTATTTATTAATAATTAAAGGATCATATTGAAGTTTGCTTTTATCTGTTTTGTTCTAGCTAGAATCATTGTTAAGTGATGCCTTCAAAGGGAAAGGATTTCAGAAAATAAGTGAAATGATACAAGAAAAAGACAAATATGTTCCTCAGAAGTGTAAAAAACAATTATTAAATCAACTTGACAAAGCTCTAAAAAAGGTAGGTAGGAAATTCTTAATTGTTGAACATTAAATTGTTCAACTGTTTAGACAGTCACCAATGTGAAATTATCTGCTTTAGGAATTGGACAAAAATGAATTTTCGAATGTTTCCCTACTGTTGAAATGCATTCAGCTGTACTGTAGAAGTGATCTTCAGGAAAGTATAAATCTGCTTCTTCAGCAAGGATTGATACCAAAGATAAGTAACCTAGTACATTAATATCTTTGTTACTAATCAGTAATATTATCATATTCTAAAATATACTTGCCTGGCTGGAAGTGTCTGTGAAGTTGTTATCTGAAAGGTAAACATATTTTTTTCAACATTTCTTGTTGCAGCTAAAATTTTATTCTCAATCACTTTTTTATTGTTTAAATTTCACTTTACGTCACTTTGCTGATTGTGAGCAAGAATTACAAATTTCCTATTCACTGTATAAGTTATGGGTTGAGTCCAACTGTTTTTCAATGCAAAAATCCAAATTAAGTATATCTCACAAATCCAATTTGTCCTTGAAGGCATCTAGCATCTAGCTTTTTACTTTCTTATTAGTTTCCTTTTTCCTAGTATGCAGTTTTTCCTAACTTTCAGCCAAAATCTGCCTTTTTATAACTTCCGGGACCTGACATTTGAAAGAATGAAAAACAGGCTCATCTCAAATAAGATACTTCTTCATGCGCTTGAGAAGAATATTGCCAAACCCAAATCTCCCTTTGTAAACTAAATCCTTGTCCTTATTTGTATTTGTTTCAGTTTATCTGAATCCTTTTAAAATACATTGTCCAAAGCTAAATATGGTTCTCAAACTTGATCACTGCAGAATACAATACAATACAACTCATTGATTCACATGAGTTGGAAATGGAGTTTCTCTTGAAACAGCCCAAATGCAATAACATTGATTCATATGTAGCCTATAAACAATTACAATTCCATATTCCTTTTCATAATGACCCCCTCCCGCCTTTTGGGGAGAGAAACAAATTTAACCAGATCTCTTAGGGAACGCATTGTGTAGCTGTGTTTCTTGACTGGGGCACAGAAAAAGTGCAAGGTGTTTACTTCCCAGTTCAGATGGAGGAACTTCATTAATGGTCTATAGAACTTGAAAATATAATTAGGGCTGTCTCAAGGTACTTTGCAGATTGAGAAGCATCAGAGGGAACTCTCCTTTCACCAAGTCAAACTGCAGACTACTGCGAGTTATTTGTTGGGGGCAAAAGATTTGAGAAATATTTTCTAGTGATAAAAGTACAACAGCAATAAATTAAATAACTTGTCCTTTCAGGACATCCAACTTTTATATTGCCCAGTGGTAGGGTAGACCTTGTAAGTGGTGTGGTTGAAATGTTTGCTTGCTTTCGTGCCCAACCTCCACCAAGTAGTAGTACTGAACCGTAAGTTTTTGTCATGGTTTGTTGAACCATAATGAGCAGAAGATTTGTAGCCCTAAGCCATGATATTAAAGGCAAGGCACACAAATCACATTGTTACTCAGTGTGCTGGGCAAATCCAGCAAATGAATGTGAGCTGGATGAGTGTCGTTGCAGTAAATCCATCTCCCCATGCATTTCAACAAAGAACACCAACAGTTACTATATATCTTCTGCTAGAGAAAATTATCATTTTATTTATTGTTGAGCAAGCAAACAGTAATGTTCGCTGGTTCCAGTAAATATAATTCCCCTTTGTAACTGTATATTAAAATTTGGTGTGGAATTGGTTTTAGATGCTCATTTGATTTTTTTTTCTTGCATGTGTCTTCCTTTTTACATGGTTACTTGGTTTGAAAGGACAAGAGAATTTCTGAGCCTGATAGAAGTCAAAGAAAGCAACTACTTGGTAAATCTTGTTGAGGACCTATGTGATACAACCTTGGTAAGCACATAGAAAGAACAACAAAACGGTTCCCTATTAATACTTTTCATTATGAAATGACTGACTTACAGATCTCTTTTTTTCCTGACAGCCTTGCCAAAGTATGGGATTGAAAAGACTTTTGGGGTTCATTGATTTTTTTATGTGGTTCACTTAGGGAGCGTGGCACAAATTCATCTTCCAGTATCACAGACGCAGCATGCTCCATACTCATTACCTGCTATATATATTATACATCTCATCTTTCTATTATGGCAAGTACTCTGGGAGTACTCACTAGAACATTGGGAGCAGTCGTCATTGATAAATATGTTGTCATAATGATGTAGGAACTGATTTCTCGTGTTTTATCATGCAATGAAGTCTCATTTTCACAGATTAATAGGGGAAAGGAGTATCAATTGTCGCTCCAAACCTCTGAATTGAAGAGTGCATTATTGCAACAACACAAATTGAATTATTTACATGATTATATACTGATAATATTAGTATACAAATTGCATAAAGTAACACAAGTGTTTGAAACTTCTGTACTCTTGCTAAATATATTGACTTTTAATATCTCCATTCTATCTCTTGTTCCCTTCTCCTCAACATCTTGTTTTTAGATTATTGGCAAAAGCAGCACTGAAGGTCAGTTACTAAATACTCTTATAATTACTGAACAGTCAAGGATTTTGTGACTATAGTATATGCATATTGAGTTAAGTAGAATGTACCTTTGAGTAAATGTAGGAAGAATATTTGTATATTTTATTGTTGGGTCTGCGTGAAAAGGTATTATGAGACTTTTTGAGGAGGAAAAACCATAAATAAGGCTGCAAACTTTATTTAGCTTAATCATTAAAATGCCGAAGCTAGTTGATTCCAGTGGCCCTTCTCTAGCTAATCAGTTAGATTATGAGGAGTCATGGGACAATTTGTTGTTTCATATTATAATATTGCATTAGACAGAAAGTATCTTCAAAAATTCAACCATGGATTTTTCTTCTTATAGCTTTACTTGTTTCAATATCTCAAAAGCTGCACTTCTGAATTAAGTAGCAACAATGCAGTTACGAGTTAAAAGAAGATGATTGTGTAGAATTTGACATTTCATCATAGCTTTAGATGGAAATACTATTTAAAATGAAGGACTAAAAAGTAAATCTCATAAAACTCTTAGGAATATTCAAAATCAATAAGAGAGATAGTGTGTGATTGCTAATACTGTCAATTCTGTCATCTTTTCTTCCTCAACCTATATAGGAAGAAAGCAGTTGCTTGACTCCTTCATACAACACCTGGGACATTTAGCCACAGAATCTAATGTGAATTGTGCCCTTCGACAGGAGGTTAGTTTAAAAGCTAGCTAGCAAACTTTAAGGCATGTAATCATATCAATTTTTGTCAGCTTGCAAATTTCTATTATGTAGGAGAGCACTTTTGATCAGTTTGGGAGAGCTGAGCTTTGTTTCCTGTCTTTTTCTTTATTTCTTTCAATCACTGAAACCAAGGCTCTGAGAACATTAAATACACTGTTGGCTAATGTCACCCGTGAGGAGAAGAAGGCATTTGCTGCCTCTGAAGAGATGTGCTTGCTTATGTAAGTCAACTTTTCATGTCAGGATTATATTTTTTTTTATTTTTCGCATTCCTTTATCACCTATCTCCCTTAAAAATATTTGAAGGATATCCCTTTTATCTTTGACTTCATTTTCTACAGGAGTGGTTAAGAGACAGTATTTCTTTTTTTTTTTTAATTAAAAAGTTCTACAAAAATTACAAAATATACCCCAAAACCCACCCACCCTCCCCCCTCCCTCCCCCTCCCCCACTTCCCAGAACTGAATACAGGTAACAAATATAATAAGAGACAGTATTTCTTAACCATCAACATTTGCAAAATTAATAACAGCAGGGTATATAAATAAAAATCTTACTTTTTGTCTTAATTGGTTGCATTTACCAGTTTCTTTTTTTTTTTTTTTCTGACCTGCAAAAGAAGGATGCAAATCAGAGTCTTTAACTATGATTACTTCTGGAACTGCTTCTCTGCTTCCATTATTGGATAAACAGTTAAATAATTAATATAAATTCAACTGGTCCTAGTTTTTGTTTTCAAAAGAATATGAGCAATTTAACAATAAATCCTTTGCAGTCCATTGGGTTACATATAGTTTGTTTTCAATTTTGATCTGTTTGTATTTTACTTCCAAAAATTTAATCTCAAATTACTGCTTTACTCTTCCAAGAAATCAGTGTTCTTAATGGGCTGTGTTGTTTCAGGAAGGAACTTGTGAAAACTATTCAGGAAGTTGGTGGTAAGAAACGTTTGATATCTTGATCAGAGCTGGGGAAATTCTGAATTGAAAATATGAAGCTGGAATTTAAGATGGTGAACAGAGAGGAAGAGAATAGCACGAGAGTAGGAACTTGCCTGTCCCTTACCATGCCTTGCCTAAGAATTGGAAATACAAATTTAACCTTTAATTTTAATTTTATTCTTTTTGGTGTACTAGCTTAGTACATTTAGTAGATTGACATTTGCCCAAAGGGTAATAAAGGCAGCATTGGGAGTCGGTATGGAGGTGCTGGGCTAGAGAACCAAGAGGTTTAGTTGCAACAGTATTATGCTCATCACCTTGAGTTAGGCTGAGAGTCAGTATGATGTACTGGACAAAGCACCAAGGTAGAAACTGGGAAATTGGGAGTTCTAGTTCTGTCTTGGACACAAAACCACTTATGTGACCTTGGCCAGTCACTTTCTCTTAGCCCTAGGAAGGAAGCAAAGAACTTTGCCAGGCAATTTCTGAGAATTGGATTGGATTGGATGGAATAAAAATATAATTTGGGCAAAATGTAAACAATGCAGTAAAGTTTTCAATTTAAACTTCTGATGCTATGATAGAAATGAGTTTCTTACTGCTTTGAAACGATGATGGGCGGGCTGGGGTGAAGGTAGCTAAGCTTGCTATTTTGAAAAAAAAAATCCTTTTTTTCCCCTGCAGACTATGATATTCAGGTTGCTCTTGTTGAAGCCCTGTTTAGGCTGATGTTGAAAAAGCAGCGAGATGATCTGGTGCACAGTTGGTTTGAAGATCAATATGTCACTAAGGCTTTTAAAGAAATCAAGGATAGAGACTTTGAGACTGTAAGGGTTTTTGTGATTCATATCAGAAATAAAGTCATGGTTTTCTCAATTGGGGAAGGGGAAAAAAGGAATCAAACATCAGTGGTATCTTTTAAATTTATAGGTCAGTAATACAGAAAATACAATGGTACCTCGATACTCATCATTAATTGGTTCCAGGAGGCACAATGAATACCAAAAATAATGAGTTCCAGAGAAATTTTCAGTGAGTCACAAGGCAGCCAGCATCGACAAATTCTAGCTTGTCAGCATCGACAAATTCTAGCTTGTGCATCGAGTACCAAACAAACGATGAGTACTGGGACAAAATTTTCACAGCAAATGCGTTGAGTTCCAAATTTGATGAGCTTTTCAAAGCAGTTGAGTACCAAGGTACTTTTGTATAACAATCCAAATTTGAATTTCAGCTTTGGGTATTCCTCACCTTTAAACTGGGAGAATAATAGTTCAGCAGAGTTTTGCAGATTCATTCCTGCAAAAGGCTATTCATAATTCAGTTTTGGGATGATTTGTGCCACTGAAACTAAGCCAAGTAATAGTCCATTAGAATTATGACATGAATATTTTTGCACATTGTCTTGAATACCACTGGACAGAATGTGTACTTTCTATAATATTCCCTCCTCCTCAACTTAGCAGGAGAGCACTTTTTAAAAAATAAATGTTAACATTCTGTTTTTTGTCTTCAAGGATAGCAGAAAGTTTCTTAATGAACTAAATGAAAGACTTGGTGATAAAAGAAGGTAAGTCTTTGCTGTGAATCTTCACCAGATGGGCATAATGGTACACAGCTGATTCTACCAATAGGGATTTTTTTAAAAAGAGAGGGATGCTAGCTGACAATTAGGTATTAACTATTATTTCAAACTATTGGAAATATTTTTTTATTTCAGTATTGGGCATTTGAGATGGTAAGGGTAAGTAATGCAAGATATTCAACTGCATTTTTACACAGAATAGTGCGACTGATGTTCATTGAAACAAATGATTCCTGTAGTTCTATAATATTTAAGGCTATAGATACAATATGAATTATTCTTTAATGCCATTAATATCCTCTTGAACTTTTAAAAAACCTTGAAAGCACAACTTTTGAAAAGGTGGGGGCTGGCTTATTTATGCAGGATCAGGAAACACATTCGTTTAAAAATGTGTGGATATCAAATTTTGAATCACATTAATACCTATGCTGATATTATCAGGTGGTATGAGATGCAGTAATGTCAGAAGTTGATTGTCAGGTAGATTTGTCCATTTTCCATGCCAGTTTCATTGCCCCCTGCCATACCAGTGCAAAAAACAACCATATTGGCAAACTATCTTACTTAATTTGGAGTTCTGATACTACCTTAAGAGTGCGGAAAGGGAAGTACCTCTCTTAATGAAGTGTGAATTGCTGATGAAGCATGGAATTAGATGTGGGCTTGCTTTATTTTCCACAACATGTTGACATAAGATAGTGCTGACCTACCCTAAAAATCTCCAAACAGGTTTGCTAGCCCAGGATAAATCACTCTTTCTCATGTTGTGTCTTGCTAAGTTAGATATTTTGCTAAGCAACACTTCACATAGATTTGCTTCTTAAGTCATGAGAAAATGTCTGTGTTTGTTAGTAACGTGTTCTTCATTTGTGTGCTTGAATCATACCTGCCAGCATTATTTTTATGAATTATTTAGGATTTTTTTTTTATCTATTTAGGCCATATTCAGTGCAATAGGGCAAAAGATACATGTTCTCTAGTTCACTTGTAAAACCACCTAAATGTAGGATGCTTTGAAGAGCCTTATTGTCTTAGTAAATACTCTGATTAATATAGTTTTAAAAAAAATCTCTCTAGATCCAATGTTACTTTGTAATGAGTATAGATTTGTTGCATTTTTGAAGGTTCAAGATGAAGTATGTCTTAACTGGGGGACAACACATTGCTGTACAGATCCAGATTGACTTCAGTTGATAGTTTAGATAAGCTTGATCTTCTCCGGTCTAATTTTTGCTTATTATTCAGGCTTTTACAACCTGAAAACCTCTAGATCAGGGTGTCAAACTTCCCGCCTGCGGGCCGGATATGTCACCAGGAAACCGCACCCACCCCATTGCTGGCAATGGAGAAAAAGCTCTGATACGTCGTGCAACGTCACATGACGTCGTGAGTTTGACATGTCTGCTTTAGATGAATTAGGCCTGAGTTCCAAGCCACACCCACTATATCTATTCTAGAACCAGATTGGAATAGAGGTTGAGTTTCAGAATCAATGAACATTTTTCTTATTTTTCAGGATCTATTCAATTCCATGTAAAGCTGCTTATGCTGACCTGATTGAGGTAATTAAGGTAGCAATTACATTGTGATGTTATGAAATATTGAAAGTATAGAGATTTTAATAGGGTTACAGTGTATATTCTTTCTACTTTAATAATGAGACAGTATTATTTGGGGAAAATTAATTATTTCTGTTACTACCTTTAGGGAGAGAGAGCTAATGAAAGTCAAACAAAATGTGAAAATATTTTTATGTAACTTTGAGAAATAAAAATTCTTCTATTCCCATCCCACAATTATATTGTGATTCTTTTTGTTGCTGTTCCTGATTTCTTGGGTATATGAACTTTTCAGCTGTTGAATAAAAGTGTTGAAAACAGTTCTTAGAAAAAATTGATGCAGATAATTCCACCCATTCTTGAATACTAACAAAATAAAACTAGGAAATGGCAATTTCGTATTTTATAGCCACTTAAGGAAAAAGTACTTGGGACTTTGTGGGACATATCATTCTTTCTAACTGAGATATTGTTTTATTATACCTTTTAGAATTATGTTTTGTTCAGGTTTGAAGTGTTGCTTGTACCCACAGTTTCAGAAATTGTTTCCAAAATTGCATATATTCTGCTACTACTAAATATTAATGCTTAATCACCTTTAATTAATTATGCAACAAAGAGGTAACTTATATTCAGGTAACTTATATTTTGCTAAATAGTGACTTCATTAGAAATTATTTGTTTTGAAGAAGGAAAAACTTTCAGAAGCTTTACTATCCCTTCAGTTGATGTTTAAAACTTCAGGACACTAAAGCAGTGGAGAGTCTCTTGAGGACTCTGTGCAAGAGAAGGAGAGCAGTTTAGACTCTCTTAATATGTAGCATTGTACTATATAGCTTGTTTCTTGGGTTTCCAGAATGCAAAGTTACATTGTACTGAATTTCTTTGGGAGGTAGAAATCAAATTGAGACTGTTTTCTTTTTTATATCCAAGTTAAAGAAACCTGCAGATAACAAACTAGAAGAGTTTTGGATTGACTTCAATTATGGAAGTGAGAGCATTACATTCTATTTAGAGAGCCTAGAGGTAAAATGATTGTATTTTTTTTTAATGGGCCTTTATTTATTTATTTACTTTCTTACTTAGCTGCCATTAACATGACTTTTACCTCGAATATTGTTTTTCAGAGCACATTTTGGGAGTCAGTAAGATTGCCAAAGCGAGACCTCAGCAGTTATTACCTACAGGGTAAGCCCATCAGAGACTACTCTCAGAAGAAATATTAATGCTTAAGTTGAGCTTTTGAAAATGTGTGTCATTTTGGTTGCACATATTAATCATCATGAAAACATGGCAGAACTACATACCTCCACTGCTTCGGTGCTGCAAGTGCCTAGGCCTTGAGCGTGTGATTTCCACTCTTCTACAGGTTTATCTGGAACACTGTTGAATGTGTGTATAACTTCCCCCACCTCTAGGTTTAGGAGCTGGGAAGATGCCATATTCAGAGTCACCTGGGAATAAAGCTGCATGTTGGCTTCCTTCCCCCAGAGTCAAGAATTCTAATTTCTCTCACAGGTTGCAGTAGAAATGACCTTAAAAGTGCAGACCACAGCAATTGGAGAGATCAGTGGTAAACCAGAAGACTGTTGTTCTCTGAAGGCTTCTCCCTGTGCCATAGAATATTTGTATTGCATTAAGAGGAGGCATAATATTTGCATGCCAGAACACGTAAAGTCATCCATCATGGGGATTTGTTCTCAGCAAATGACTAGCAGGGCATCTTCACGAAGGGCACAAGTACAGCTGCCCCATTTCAATGCATCTGGAGCTAGCCATGTATAGGTTGGAAACTAACAGAGACAAGGAAAGGTAGTTAAGTTCCTTCCTTCCTTTCACCTTTTTAAACAATTCATATGCAAGGTGACATCGTGTCTTTTGTATATGTACTATATAGATAGATTGGCTGGTTGGTTCTAAGGCAGTGGTTCTCAACCTATGGGTCGCGACCCCATTTGGGGTCGAACAACCATTTTACAGGGGTCGCCAAACAACGCGACCCGCCATTTCCCCCCCTCAGGGGGCGCCGCCGCACATGCGTGCCGCGCATAAGGGCCGCCACTGCACATGCGCGCTGCGCATGGGGGCACCGCCACACATGCGCACGCCGCCGCACATGCACGCCACACATGGGGCCGCCGCTGCGCATGCGCACCGCGCGTGGGGGCGGCGCGTCCGTGTGACGGGGGTCGCCGTCACACAAAGGTTGAGAACCGCTGTTCTAAGGTGTCACATAATTCGTTAAGCTAATTGACAAAAGAATATCTGAGAGATGGAAGAATAGTTTGATTTGTGCGAAAAGTTCCTTGGTCTTTGAGAGCTCATTTTGGCATGGATTGAAGATGAATTTTATTTGATGGTGTAATGAACTATGTTGCATTGTGCTCCAAGTTGTGTCTATCCCCAAGGTCAAATATGTATGTATGTTGTGGTTGTTGTTGTTGGATGATGATGATGATAATGATGATGATTTTATTTCAAAGGATAAATACGGATTTTCATACCAAAATAGCTGGAACTGCTGCTTTGGAAATTCTGAGCTGTGGAGATCACTATTTGGTCTTTTGTTTCAAACAGCAGAATATGTCATACAGATTCTAGTGCCTAATAAGTATTATGGGATGCTTCACTAAAGCTATTCTGAGAAAGTTGCCGATTGTGGGAATGACTAGAAAATGCATATGTTGTTCTTTTTTTTTTTCATAAAGAGGAACAAGAAGAAAAGATTCTTAAAATCATCACAAGAAGGTCAGTTGTGATCAACAAAGCAGAAATCACCAAGATCAGAATTCACTTTGATAGCTGTTTTGATATTTTAGCACCGCTTCTTAAAGCTATTGGAAAAGAAAAAATGGTAAGGAGGTTTGGGGGGGGGCTGAATTGCCCATCAACTTTTGTCTAGTAAGAACTCTATAGGTTTTTATAATTTTGTATCAAACTAAGCTGTTATTTTTTTATTTGAATATTGTTAGAAATTTCTCTCAAAGTATTCATATGAATTTTCTTAATGGGTAGTTGATTGTAATGTTATAAATAATATTTACAAGTATTTTTAAAAGTTACAGTAGTCAGTAGTCTTTTCATTTTTTTAATTGTAATCTATAATGCTAAGTTTCTCTAGAGAGCAAGACATGCTTGATCAGAAGGGACATCTTAAAGCATGCATAAGAGAATACATACACAACAGCTTTTTATACACACACACACACACACACACACACACACACAATGTATAAAATTAGAAATCTATTATGAAATAATATCCTGATTAAAGCATGCATAAGAGAATACATACACAACAGCTTTTTATTAATATATATATATATATAGAACAAAAGCATCCCCGCTTAACTTAAAATAAATTATTAGTCCATCTTCAAACTGAGTCCATGAATACCAAAAGAGTCTGTCTCTGAGAATGCTTCTAAAACTGGTCTAAGCTGATCAAAAACCTAGTTTTGAGGCAGGATTTAGAAACTGTAAGTGCTATAGGATATATATTTGCATTAGCCATAAAACCCTGGTGGTTTTGCTTAGCTGAGAAATGTTATAAAAATCCTTAAATGAATGACACCTCTGTAGACAACAGAACCTCTACATTTGGGCACATATGAGTCAGACAGGGTATCTGGTGGAGATCCTGTAGCCTGAAATCTTCTCTTCCAATGAAGAGTATGTGCAATGCACATGCCTGATGAAGCTTCTTTTTACTGATGGAGTTGGACAACCAAAACTTTTGAGAAAGAACAGCCTTAAAATTTTCCAAATCTTTGGTTGATTTCTTAAGTTGTGAATCAACTCTGTTGCATTCTAGCATTAGGAGGTAGTAAAAAATTTCATTCACCCTTCATCTAATGAAACAGCTGCCCTCTGAACTGAACCAAGAGAAATTGTGCCTATTAATTGAGAAAAATATTTTTATTTCAAGGACCCTAATTTGGCAACCAAGTTCGGCAAAAATGTTTACTAGACAATCACCTAATGGATATTCTTCTGTTTAAATTTAGAAAGCATTCACTGATAAAACTCAAAGATTACTACAGACTTTTACAGGATTGGTTGAATCTGTTTTTTTTCTGAAGGAGATTTCTTTCTCCGGATTAAACTTTTCTTTCCCAATAACTTAATTGGATAGATAATATTGAATGAAGATGAGAATGCCAACCTTGGGGATTACCAAGAGCAAACTGCAACAGGTGAGTGGGAATTAATGTCAGTAGAATCCTCTTTCAGGTTATCTTTTTGCCTGACCATAACCAAAAAGAGGCAAAGTCTGAGCATTCTTAATAGTGGCACCTTGCAGGCTTCTTCCTGGACAGAAACACCTATTAGCTTTTACCTAATATGTCAGTGGGTGGGTGGGTGGGTGGATGGATGGATGGATGGATGGAAGGATTCTCCTACGTTTTTCTAATTTTCTTGGATCTTGACTGTTTAGAGCAGTGGTTCTCAACCTGTGGGTCGGGACCCCATTTGGAGTCGAACGACCATTTCACGGGGGTTGCCAAACAATGCAGTCTGCCATTTTCCCCCCTTTTCCTTAGCTGTGCTACTCCCTTTTATCCCATTCTGCAAATTATGCTGCACCAGTTGAGTAGTTCTCGACTTACGACCGGTTGAGTAGTCCTCGACTTACGACCGGTTGGGGGTCACGGCATTAAAAAGGTTGAGAACCACTGGTTTAGAGAGAGAGTGCATTTCTCAAATTTTCAATCTGAATCCTGAGTCTTAACATTTTTTCACTTCCGCTATTTACTTCCAGGTTGCCCACAAAAGAGAAGTTTATGTAACATAGTAAGGATTTGAAGGAGCTAAAAAGAGATTAAAAGATATATAGTAGTGTAGTAGTGTGCTAATAGTAGTATTAGTAGCAGCAATGGTAATAGTAGTAATAGTGACGCTGATGTATTTTGCTAAAGTAAATGTGTCTGTCATAAACATTGTTGGGTTTTTGTGATAATACTTTTGTGCTCTGCTTTTTCACGCTTTTTATAAATAGCTGCCTCAATGATTTTCAGGACTCTGGATAGGTAGTAAAGTTATTCTCAAATCAAGTATCATCCTCATGCTTACTTACTATAGGGCATATCTATTCATCTTTATGGACAACACTGTGGACATGGTTTTCTGCTGTCAAGTTGTGGAATTTTTTTTCTGACTTCCTTGCCTAGCTTACTGCCAGAATATTCAGGTTGATGCTGTCATCTGTAGAAAATATAAATTAGATAACCCGATTGAAAGACATAACTTGATTTCAGCAAATAACTATTGTCATCCTTGGTCATGTTCTTCTGACATTCCATGTATGTGAATTCTCATCAGTCCCGGTCAGGCAGTTTCATGTTGCAGTTGTATTGACCTTCTTTCATCCTTTTGACATCGGGATTTTAAAAGAGTGAGGGCATCCACTTTCCAATCCTTGTTTATGGAGATCGAGAAGGGGACACAGTATTATAGTCACTTTATGTTTCTGGTTAAAAATAGTTTGCATTCCTTTGCTCTCTTGTTCCTCTATCTTAATAGAAGGAATGAAAACTTAAAATGAAATTTGGTCAGTGTTTGTGGCCATGCTTCAGTTCCCCTGAGACCCATCTCTCTTTCATATGTCTTGAGTCGGTAGCCTCTTTAATGTGTTGCCTGTACTAATGTGTTTGATGATAGAAATACCATGTTTGTGCTTAGAACTGAGAATATGAAACAGCCAAGAGGCCATCCCCCGCTGAAACATTTCTCTCAGTAGAGGTACAGCCACCAAGTGAAGATGAGTCATGACAAAGAGGTGGAGTCAAAGGGGGTGAGAATTGAGAGTGAGAAGGTGTGGGAGATTTGAAATGCAAATCTTGTTAGAAGATTTACTCCTGAACTTAAGAAAAAAACATAGGAAAGCCTACCCCTCCTGAGGCAATAATTCCCAGTGTTGAAAAACTCTTGTCATTAGAAACTTACTTCTGATGTTTAACTATGTTTTCCTTTTGATTTCTATCTGCTGGTTCAGATCCTGGTGTCGGGGCAACAAAGAATAATTCTGTTCTGTCTCTTATACGACAGATGTTTAGAAAGTCTCCATGAACAGAGGAGACACCTGTGTGCAAAAAAGGTCTTGTGGAGGGTGATGAAAGTGGTGAAGTGTATATCACTTCTTTGTATTGCAGTATTAGAGATATTAGTGGTCAGGTCTACCTTTTTGAGAGAATTAGGGAACCCCTGATAAAAATGTCAAAGGATTCGTTAGAAACTACTGCCCTGGGAGACATGTGGGCTGTGAAGTCACTGAGTTGCAATTCCAAAAATCTAGACAGCAGCAGATTGGAGAAGGCTGGTCTATATTAGGTGGTGTGGGTAAGCTTTACTATTGATCATTTTACTGTACACTGTTTCTTGGCCTTGAATATTTTTATATGACAATAATAAATAATATTGCTTTACCGTAGTAAGCATTCAGCTGGAGAGGAAAGAAGATCTTACAGAAACAAATTCCTTATCAGACATTCTGACATCACGCCAAAGCAATGAATCTGTTACTCCTGAAACAGTAAGTATATTTGCAGCTTAGGAAAACTTGAATGAATTAGCGATTGCCCAGCTCTGTCTTCTGGGTTCTTGCAAATTATGGAATTCATGGGGGGGGGAAGCAATTCTCCCAAATCTTCAACCTCCTCAGCCTGTTATCAAGAGAAAAACAACCATCACCATAAGGCTGCCAAGTTGACACTCAAGTTTAGTAAATAGGATGTAATATAGGAATAAAATAAGAGGGAATGAGAAGAACTAGAATAGAAATATTGCACTGCAATAGCAGATAGACATAAATCTTGAGGCGCTTTAATATTGATAATGCATTCCAAAATTTCTCATTAAATCATACACCTAAGGACAGAGTAACAAACATAAAATTTATCCAATCAGTTTCATTTATCTTGGACTGAATTGTCCAAGAAATTCAGAATGAATATTAGCCCACAATATGTTCAGTGGACAGCCAACTTACAAATTACCTTTGGGGGACAGCCCAAAAGGAGAAAAAAGACCAAGCAATATAGCATTTAATGAGTTGCTTATTGGACAGTTGTTTATTGGACAATTATTTATTTCCAACTAAGCAGGAAAACAATGGGTTGGTTATTCTGTTATCTGTTGCAGAACTGAAAAAGAATACCTGAACTTTCTGGTTTTTAAGAACTATTTCTCCCCGATTAAGGTTTATAAAAACTGCAAGGGTTAATGGCATTAATAATATGAATGTTATTGTTTATCCCTTTATCTAGAACAAAATAATTATTCCGGCAGCAACTATTACAGATGGGGAGAAAGAGACCCAACATCTTGAAAACAAAGATGGCAGTCAAGGTCAGGAGCGGCTCTCCTGTTCTTTCATGTGATTCTTAGTCACAAGGCTTACCTTCTTAATCACATTAAAGTCAAAGAGATTTGTTTTAAAATTATGTCAGGAAGCCTGTTGAGTCATATTTGACATAAAAATAAATGTTTGTGAAATCTCTGGTTATTTTTACCTGGAAAGAATCAGCTGTGTCTTTTTTATTACTTTATTACTTTAAAGCTTCCAGTGATAGGCCTTCAGTTTCTCCATCACGTTCAGCAAATACATTGGCTGCTCCTCCATCCTCACAGAAGTTGAAAATTTCTCGGCTACAACCAAAGGATAAGGCTGAGTAAGTGTTCTAGCTGTACAAACCTCTTGAATAGAGAATTATGAAGAAATGTAGCATTTATAAATAACATTATGGTTTTACCATATCATGTATGCCAATGGCCTGTTTATCTGAGACCACCTCTCCTTTTGGAAAGTTTCCCTGTAGTAGATGTAATAGCATTTTAAATTAACACTGGGCAATTTGTGGGTTTAAGTGACTACATTTTCCACTAATTTCTACCAAGCATGACAGTGATTAGGAAAGTTGTAGTCCAGCATACTATGGAGGGCCACATATTAACTGCTTTACAGATTGATCTTACACCTGAATGTATTTCTCAGTACATAGATACTGTGAACACTGGAGGATATCCATAAAGATTTTCACCACCTTTGATTAGAATGGCTTATTAGAGGAGAAACGCTTAAACATGTCCATTGTGTGTTTCCTGATATCCTAGAATAGACTGTCCAGTGACACACATGGTGCTCCAGAGGCCTTTAGAGCAAGGAATGTTTTTTCTACAGTTTCTTTCCCTGCCTTTTATAATCACGTGTTAATGGAACTGCTGTAATATTTATGCATAGCAGTTGACAGATATTGAGAGCTGGCTTGAATTCCTGCTCAAATATACAGTATATAAATCCTCTTATCAATCAGTCATTCCATCTTAGTGCTATACATTGCTTTGGATTTGGAGACATAAAGATGCTTCAAGTGCAGAGGGGTATGAATACACAATAACAGAGTTGGAAGGGACCTTGTAGGTCATCTAGTCTAACCCCCTGCTCAAGCAGGAGACCCTATACCAGGGATGTCAAACTGCCGGCCCGCGGGCTGGATGCGTCACAAGGAAACTGTGCCCACCCCATTGCCAGCAATGGGGGAAAAGCGCCGATATGTTGCACGACATCACATGATGTCGCGAGTTTGACATGTCTGCCCTATACCATTTCTGACAAGTGGCTGTCCAGTCTCTTCTTGAAAACCTCCAGTGATGAAGCACCCGCAACTTCCATTGGTTGATTATTCTCACTGTCAGAAAATTTCTCCTTATTTATAGGTTGACTCTCCTTGATCAGTTTCCATCCGTTGTTCCTCGTCAGGTCTTTGGGTGCTTTGAAAATAGGTTGTCCCCTTCCTCTCTGTGACAGCCCCTCAAATATTAAAATATTAGACTGCTATCATGTCACCCCTGGTCTTTCTCTTCGCTAGATAAGCCATGCCCAGTTCTTGCAACCATTCTTCATATGTTTTAGGCTCCAGACCCTTAATAATCTTTGCTCTTCTCTGCATTCTTTCTTGACAAGTGTCTGCTACTCCTTACATTGGCTGCTTTATGGTGTTGCTCATAGGTGCATAGGTTTGTCTCTCCACAGACTCTCCAAAGCAATGCACTGTCCCAGTAAATTTATTTCTTGGGATCTGCTAATTAAATACTGACTTACAATAAAATATAGTACAAGAGGTAGCTTATAATGTATTAATTACAAGGAAGTCCTTCTATGTCAGACAAATCCAGAGTGCAAATTTGTTTTTTTGGACACACCTGAAATTATTACGGCTGGTCCTCAACTTATCACCAGTCACTTAGCAACTGTTCAAAGTTCTGATGGACCTACTTGCAGGATTTACCATCTATGACCCAAATTTGAAGTTCTGATAATCAGCACGTACCCCCCACTACAGTCATGTGAACATGTTTTATGACAATTTTGCCATAAATCAGCATTTATTCTGTTTTTCGGCAAAACTGTACCCATAGTGAACTGCCGGTTAGCTTAAGGACTGCAGTGTTTGCTTAAGGACTGCTGCAACAAAAGTAGTGTTTTACAATGGTTACAGCTCCTATAATTTTTAATTAAAATAGTAATAGGCAGGCTCCATTAGGGTTTTAACTGGAGAACTACCTGTATTTCAGTGAGATTTGCCAATATGCATAATTTAAATGTTACCCTTTTCGTCCTGCTAAAATGTCTCAATCAGAATGATACATTATTTGAAATAGTGTCAAATATTCTCTGCATTTTTACTTTCTAGAACAGTGGTTCTCAACCTGTGGGTCGGGACCCCATTTGGGGTCGAATGACCATTTCACAGGGGTCGCCAAACAAGGCTGTCCGCCATTTTTTCCCCTTTTCTTTGGCCACACCCCTGGCACCTGGTGATGTATAAGTGGTTGGGGGTCACCACAACATGGGGAACTGTATTATGGGGTCGCGGCATTAGAAAGGTTGAGAACCACTGTTCTAGAAAATGCAGTTGGAAACTGTAGAATTTGTTTTTGTAGTGGATGTATTTTTAAATTGATAACATAAACAATTTTAACACTTTAAATTTAAACTGATGTAGTTGTTGTAGAGTCTTGACGCTAAAGCATTTCTTCTGTAGTGAACCAGATGTGGAAGGAGAAGCTGATATCCATGTTGGGGAAATCCACCCTTTAGAGGTACGTTGTAGGTAGCAACAATACCCTTTTGATTCTTTCCTGATGTGCTGGAAGCCAGCTCCTGTAATTTTCAATTAACCATTCTAGGAATTCATACCCAACACATGAATAGGTCAAAAAGTTGAGCAAGGACAAATTCAGCATGGTTCCTTTGGAGAAAGTAATTTGCTGTCTTTGCTTTTTGTTTTTAGTACTGATTTATATAATTACTGAATGGAAAATAAGATTGATTAAAACAGTGAGGGCTTGGGCTTTGTAGGTGGCTGGTTAACAGTAATCCTTGTCTGGTAAATCAACAACATTTATAGATACCTGATATTACCAAACTGACATGGCAAAGGGAACAGCAAGAATGGAGGTGGAAATTGGCAACAAATGAAGGATTGCTGCAAACTGGATGACAGAATAGGTAGTTCCAGTAGAAGAGAAATATATTGTAGCTCCACAATGTAGGAATTGTGTAGTCCTTGTTGTTCTCTGAGATGTGTTGTTTGCTTGTAGATGTTTCATTACCCAACTAGGTAACCTCATCAGTGCAAGTGAATGTCAGGTTTGCCATCAATAAAAAATATTCTCCCCAGTAGCCAACACCAAAATAAGCAGGAATTAACATAAGGCAGAAAACAATACCTAATCAAGAGACTACCAAGGAGAAAACCCAAAATTGGCAGGGCAAGCTGTAGGATATAAACGGGGAACAAGCCCAACACTCATTTGCACCGATGATGTTACTTAGTTGGGTAATTAAATGCCTGCAAGCAAACAAGCTCAGACACCAGGGATTCCACAGATTAGGTAGTAAAATAAGGAGGAGATGATACTACCAATGAAAAGAGATCACAGAGTTAGATCCTGGCAGTTTGGGTTTTTTTCAATCAGTTGAACTGATTCTATAATGATGGAATCAGAGACCAGTCATTGCAGGTGCAAAGATGTCCGACTGCCTTCACAGTGTTTATTGCTTTTATACAGTTTTTTCAAGCAGCAAAAGATAAAGTAGCAACAGCATTTTTATTGGTGGATTCTCCTTGCCAATCCTTAAGAATATACCAGCCAGGGAGCACCAGCCAGGGGCAGTGTTCTGCAACATCCTATTGGTGTGAACTAGGTGAGATCATGGAGGTGAGCTCATGTAGGTATTTGAGCCACGGCAGTGTGCTGCACACGGCCTCTACATGACCTCTGTCTGTACATATAAGAGCTGCTTTTGCTGCTAAGATATAAACAGGGACTTAATGGTATCTCCAGGGCCTGTTTTTATTTTGTTTTGTTCCCTTGTTCCTAGCATTTTCCAGCAAGTACATGGACTGCTTATTTTTGTCCAATTTTTTTTTGAAGCAAAATAAATTAAATCTTCTGGAAATTGTAAACACGTGACTTTGTGTTTTTGTTCCAGGATGACACCCTACAGAAGAAAAAACGAGCAAGAGGTTCAAGTAAGCAAATGGTGGAATCAATGTAAGGAACTGTTTTTAAAGTTCTTTTAAATGGACATACAGAAATATATATATATAAAATCACAGTATGAAGTTCTTATGTTAAACTTGAGATTTTAAGCACAGTGTTACAAAAAATGTATTATAATTTAGGGAGGGTGAACTTCCATTTCTGTTAAAAACACACAGAACTGATATGTAAGAGGCTTTTATTGTCATTAGTGTCATAAGAACACTTTAGTTGAGTCAGTATCGTAATGTAGATGTGCAATAATCAGATGGAAAGCTTTTGTATAGCAGTCCTATCTTAAAACAGCACTGCACATTTTACAGCCTCCAAATATTTTCAAAATGGCCACAGGTACAATTTTTAATCTGACAAAGGGAGGAATTATGAAATATATGGGTATTAACTGTATCAAATCTAATTGTGTTAAAGATGCATTTTGTTTTTGTGCTACCCTATTGACTGTATTATCGTGGCTCAGTCTATTCTTTAATAGAGCTTCCACCAAATCATCAAGATAAGTCTGAGAAAGGTTGATGCATTCCAGTCATAGAGGCATGGGCAGTTTTCCTATGCACCTTTTGGAGCATTTTGTTTTGTTTTTAAGAAAGCCTGATCCCATATATCCATAGTGCTCTTTATATAGCAAAAAATATAATCCATTCGCTTTGAAATGGCATTTGAAAATAATAGTAACTAACACAAGACATTTATTTTTTAGGATGGATGAATATGATTTTCATTTTTCGTCTGATCCAAGCACACATGAGATGGTAAAACCATAATTAAACAATTATTTCAGTGTTTACAGGCAAATTGCTTTACTTAACAACTGTTTACAGGCAAATTGATGGATTGGTTATTTACATTCTGTCAGGTTGCGTGGACTCTTCAACAATCCCATAGATAAAGTTTCTTCAGAAGAATACATTAGTTGTGTCCTTCATCTCCATTTTTCTAGTAATTGTTAATGGTTTTAGTCATCTTAAATTCCGTTCTTTTTTTGTTTTCCCAGCGTGGCATAAATAATACATTATCAGTGGTAAATTAGAGAAGAGTTCATAATCAAGTTCTGTCATAGCTTAGTAAATATCTCGTTCTCTGCAGGATCAAGGTTTGCCTAAGACTGTATCAAGATCTACTGTACATGCATGCCTAATTTCATACCTATTTAACAATATACTTGCAATCAGGTTCAAAATTTTGTGATTCACCAGCATTATTTCCATAGCTTTGTAAAATGTTAATTTACTATTAATTTATTTGTGACAAGCCTTGAAATATATCTTGGTAAGAATACCAATGGAATTGTTGAAAACAAATCTCACCAACATAAATAGTTCAGAAACAGGCATGATTTATTTGTTAATTTGTCTGGTTTGAAATCAGGTTTAGCTAGTTGTTTCTAAAGAACAAAGACTTAGTATTTAAGGAACAGTAGTATTCCTATTTTGCCTTAAAATCATTATCCCCAGTCTTCTGTTTCCTCTTTTTTTTAAAAAAAAAAAAACAACTTTCATTTTTGTTTTCAGGTGTCTGAAATGAAGCAAAAAATATTTGTCCAGAAAACTTTGCACAAGTATGGAAACTTTTTGGCATGCTATTTGTATAGAATACATTAGGTGGCTAATACGGAAAAGTTAAAGTTCAGGTAGTCCTTGTTTAGTGACCACAACTGAGATTGCAATTCAGTTAAGCAAAGCAATTGCTAAGTGAAACGGCAACTGAGCTTATGAACTTAATTCAGCTTTCCTTTGCTTTACAGACCTGCAAAGGTTTTAAATAAGAGGATAGGTCATACAGTTACTTTTTCATGAGTGTCATAACTGTGAATGATCACTGCCCAAAACATTCACTAAATGAGGATTAACTGTGTCCTTAAAAAAGCAAAATGAATTCCCTCTCTTATGCATCCCAAAGTTTATTTCAAAAACATTAATAATTCCAGAACAGAGTTTATAAGGGGCTTGAAAGAAGAAAATAGATAGGGGAAGTTTGTAAATATAAATTGAGAAGTTTGAATTGTGAGCAGCCCAAAGTTGTTTGCTGAACAAAGCAGTATATTTGGAAGTCAACATTTATTGCAGGCGGGCGGGCGGATGGGCAGGAGGGAGGGAGAGAAGGAAGGAAGGAAGGAAGGAAGGAAGGAAGGAAGGAAGGAAGGAAGGAAGGAAGGAAGGAAGGAAGGAAGGAAAGGTTATCTGTTATGAAAATAATAGGCATTCTTTTTAGTACATTTGGATAATTCTGCCTCCTGGAGATTCATATGGCTCCCACTCTGTTAGAATTTATAGGGTCTCTGAAGACCTCACTGTTCCCAGGATTAGGGTGTCTGTAGAGACCGTGTTGCTCTTCTTTGCCCATTGGGGAAAGTGTTTATGACGGTCTGAGAGAATAATCTGGGAGATAAGAGGAGGAGGAGCCACAGCCTAGGCTGAAAAACTCAGAAGGAATAGGGATGTGGGAAATGCTCCATTCTCTGGAAAATTAAGACGAGGAAGAGGAAAAGTGCTTTCAGACTTGCCAGATTCTGTTACTATAACATTACAATAAAGATAGTATTCGTACTCTAACCTTTTGGGCTTTTGAGTCCTACTTGGATAGATTATATTGAAGTAGGACATTTTAATCCCACCTCAAATCACATTTGGGGCAGTGTAATGGCTCAGTGGTTAAGACCCTGGGCTTGTTGGCTGGAAAGCCAGCAGCCCAGGTTTGAGACTTGAGCTCCATGTGACAGGGTGAGCTCCTGTCCTTGCCTCAGTTCCTGCCAACCTAGCAGTTTGAAAGCATACAAATGCAAGTAGAAAAATAGGTACTACTTCAGTAGGAAGATAAGAATGCTCTGACGTCATGCTGGTCTCATAACTGTGGAAATGTCTTCAGATAGCGCTGGCTCAGTGGCCTTGAAATGGAGATGAGCACCGTTCCTTATAATTGGCAACAAGTAACAAGTAAAATCCTTTAGAAACCACATTTAATAGAAAAGTACAGGTGGAAAATACAACCAGAGGAGTTTAGGAAATGCAGTCTTTATTTACTGGGGGCATTGACCTACAGGACAGTGGTTCTCAACCTGTGGGTCGGGACCCCATTTGGGGTCGAACGACCATTTCACCGGGGGTCACCAAACAACACAATCCGCCATTTTTTCCCCTTTTCCTTAGCTGTGCTACTCCCTTTTATTCTATTGGCTTTTGAAAGCCAATAGAATAGACTCTCTTGAACAGAGTCTAATTCTATTGGCTTTCAAAAGCCAATAGGAATTGTCCAGGCTGTCTCTGCCCTGCTGAGCCCGCCAAAAGTCCCATTCTGCAAACGGTGCTGCACCAGTTGAGTAGTCCTTGACTTACGACCGGTTGAGTAGTCTTCGACTTATGACCGGTTGGGGTTGCGGCATTAAAAAGGTTGAGAACCACTGCTATAGGACTTTGCATTCTAAATTTTTTTCTGCAGACACAGTCTCCTTAATTCATAGTCTTATATTGCATGCAGGAGTCTTGAAAAGAGAAACGTGAAGCCGAACAAGTTTGAGAGAAGTCTGGTAATGTCCAATTTTCATTTTTATTATAGTGTTCATTACAGTTTATTATAGGCACTTCAGACACCCAAATGTTTATGATTTCAGGGCTATTACTGCTAAATGCATTCTTTTTGGATTTTTTAAGACATTTGATTAATTCTACCTAATATATTACCTGCAACCTGAGCAGTGCATGAAATGAGAGAGCAGTCATCTCTCACCATCTGTGAACTTCTTCTAATACTCTGTCTGGGTCGGTTTAAGTGTTTTGTTTTGTTTTGCTTTGCTTTGTTTTTAAAGAATGGCCACTACTTAACTGAAACTGGAATGAAACTAATCCTTTGAAGGAGAAGTGCCAAGGATGCACTTGGGAAGGAATGTTCCATTCTTCCCAATCTAGTCTTCCAAGTGAATTGGAAGGACACCTTCTCCTTGTTTAGTAACTACAATCTGTTCCTTAAATTGGAAGTGAAAATGCTTGCTAAATAAACCACGTGTGTTTGTGTGTGTGTGTGTGAGAGAGAGACAGAGATCCTGCAAAGAACCTGGTTGCTGTCAATACATTCAGATAAAGTTCTCTTGTGCAGCTATGCCAATGTTACTTTCACCCTTGTTGCCAGGGGCATGAAATTTGATTGTAAGTGAGCATGTTGGTCAAAAAATATTTTTTTTAAAAAAATACTGTTGTATTTGCAAAGAGTCATTAAACAAGATAGCCACTAAAAAGGAATGGCTGTATAGCTTTCAGAATTCTGATATAGCTACTTTGGTAACCAGTCCAAACAGATCTAGAGGATGGCAGAATAGGGAAGATTCTATAGTTCCTTCATCATTCTATATTACCTACCATATCTGTACTAGATTATAGAATCACTTGAGAATAGATTTGAGAATAGATATGAAGGCCGTTCTGTAATTCCCGCTCTGTGTCCCTCCCTTTCCTGAAATGACACTCAAGTCTGAAGATTTCTGAACTCACAAGGGAGCTTCCAGATCTGTTATCCGATCAAATTAAAGCTTGTGGACATTAAATTCTACGATAAGGAATGTGACAGCACTTTCTTCACCAAGAGATAAAAGCTTCAGTGGGTAGCCTCCTTTCTTTTCTGCCTGTCTTTTGGACTTGACTGTCTTGATCACATCAGACCAACCTTGTACCTGCCAGATAAATCATACTGCATCACCCATTATCCCAAGATGCACAGGGTTAGAATGGAACATACTTTCATTTTATTATGATTAACTAATCAATTGAAGAAAAATACAGATGCATACGATAGCATTAAAAGAATCAATACAAGTTCAGGATTGATAAGTGTAGCTATGAAAAGAAGGGACCTGACACTTGTTTCCGGAACAAGTCTAAAAATGTGGAATATGTTGCTTGAAAGACTTCTTCATTTCTTCTTTCTTGGAAAAAAATATTCAAATCAAACAACATATATCAAAACTCTATTGTTACAAATCAGGGTTTTTTTTCTTACTCTAATATATTTTTTTTTCATAATTCTGCCCCCAAAAATCTATGTGATATCTCAGTAGATTCCAACTTCTGAGAATTATGACCAGGATAATACCTGGGAGGTCCTGTGCCCAAGAAGGCCGACATAAGTCTGATATAAGGAATTCAGGGAACGAAACAAGGAATGCAAAGACCCTTTAGTTCATTAAAGTCTTGTTTCTCTCAGTGTTGTTTGAGATTCAAGCAAGGGCTTTTCATCTGAAGCTGTGGTACGATCAAAGGACTTCATTGACATCCTTGCTTTCCCCTGTGATATCTGCTGATTTTTCCTATTTGTAAGGCCAGGACAAAATAGCTTAGGAGTGCTGTGTTTGTTCTATTGGTTTTGATGCCTTGAACCTTCAGTTTCTATACAATATTGAAAAAAAGGGATTCCTAAACATTTTACAGTTTTTTCCCTAATGGGGAAATGTGATTCCAAAACAAAATAGGTTGACCCTTAAGGGTTAGCTCAGTAATTGAGCTTGTACAATTGATTTTAATCAACATTTAAATGCTTTTGGAATGAAATTTTGTAATGGCAGTACTTTTCCGGTGGCGCTGACTGTTGCCTCCATGTTTTCCCAGCCTTCTAACTACAAGACTCATCTCTTTTCTGAAAGCAACCCAGAGACTCTGAGCAATGGTATGAGTGAAAAAAGCTGGATTTGTAACTCTCAGAACAAGACGTTGCCCAAAGTGGCAAACTACACTCGGAAAAAAACAAGAGTCAGAAGCAAGTTAAAAGGTAAAAACAATGATGGGGAGACTAGTTATTGGTTTAAAATGTTGCTAGACGTAATTAGCTCAGTGGAACCTGTTTTCATGTAAACTGTACATAAAATTAAACCAGAGCTTCTAAAGCAGTGGTTCTCAACCTGTGGGTCGGGACACCATTTGGGGTCAAACGACCATTTCACGGGGGTCGCCAAACAACGCAGTCTGCCATTTTTTTCCCTTTTTCCTTAGCTGTGCTACTCCCTTTTATTCTATTGGCTTTTGAAAGCCAATAGAATAGACTCTCTTGAATAGAGTCTAATTCTTTTGGCTTTCAAAAGCCAGTAGGAATTGTCCAGGCTGTCTCTGCCCTGCTGAGCCCGCCAAAAGTCCCATTCTGCAAACGGTGCTGCACCAGTTGAGTAATCCTCGACTTACGACCAGTTGGGGGTCGTGGCATTAAAAAGGTTGAGAACCACTGTTCTAAAGCAAGCTTTAGAGCTCATAATTCTTTTTAGCCCGGACTTAGGCTTGCAGCATTGTGTTTATGCAGGTGTACAGATAATATTTATTTGGAAATATTACAGTATCATGTACAGTATTAAAGATTTCAAAGTTTTGTGTATTGCTTATTACTTCCGACGTGTTCCATTAATAGGTGGTTTATCTATATTATCTTTGCTCATAATTGCAAACATTTGTTTATCTTTCCTCTCACAGTATTGCCGTTGTCTTCTCCAAGTAGTGGCACTGATTATGTTGCAAAGAAAGTAAGGAAAAATGAAACTCTGATCTTTTCTTTTCTGATGGATATGGCTGCCAGATGTATAGAATATGTAGAATGTTTGCTCTTTTTTTTAATGTTGCCCTTACACTCTACTTGTACGATGTTAGAATTTCTATGAACATAAAGGATTGACAACTGCATTATTGTGGATATCTTCAGATAATTTTTTTTAAAAAAATCATGAAACTACTTTAAGATTTGCATGAGTCGGAAGTCAAGGCCTTTTGTTTCTTCCCCTATCTTTCTTCACACTTTTTTGTTTTCCCTTTTTCTACTGTTGTCCCCTACTTTTTGCTTTTGTATTTTCACATTTTATGTTATAAATGAATAAAACTAAAAAAAAAATTGCATGATTTTTTGGTTAAGTGAGAAGAGCCAAGTATAAAGAAACTATTTCTTCTACTGAATTAACGTTCCAGAAGGCTGTCATTTGCTTCAGGAATTTGTAATGAAGATTGGAAACAGATCAGGAAATGTAAATTTATATTTCTGATTCAAAGGCCTTTAGATTTGCCTCTGTCAGTTTGTGAAGCCAGAGGCAAAAATGTCCAGATCCTTCAAGCAAGTTCAGTGTTGGGATCCTTGCACTTATGGTTACATCTGGAATCAAACAAGCTGTGAATGAGATACAGCCATTCTAGTAGATCTTTTGGAGAGGTATCTTTTGGATTGAAAATTTGCCATGCTTTTTTTTCCCTAGCTTTTTTAAAGGTCTTTTATATGAATATTTTTTTTTGTTCATAGCTTTTACATTACCAATATCTCTTGATAATAGAACCTTGTAGTGTTTCTACATTTAATTTGGTATATTTGATGCTCTTCCAATCTTCATTCCAGACAATATTAAAAAAACATAGTAATTCATCCATCTTCATTTCAATTTTATTCTTCAGCCTATTTGGGCAAAGCCAATATTTTCGACCTTAGCTGTGTTTTTTACCAGACTTTGTTATAAACAAAGTGGGGATTAGACTTCCTGTCCCTTAGAACTCCTAGCAACAACAAACTTAGATAACATGTACTTTCATCGGAGTAGTAATATCATTCATGCATGATATTAAGAGTTATTAAGTGAAAGATTATTAAAATTCTACTGCAGATTAAATTAATTAGAACTTTTTTCAAGTTGTTGAACTTTTTCATCAGTGCAGGTAGTCTTCAGGTTAGGACAACAAATGGGACTGGGAACTGTTGCTAAACAACACAATTGTAAAGAACGGTATCTTGTGACCACATCACTTAATGATGGCAATTCTAGCAGTTCTAACTGCCGTCGTTAAGCAAGGACTTCACTCAATCATGAGTTCCAACTTCTTGCTAGCTTCCCTATTGATTTTGTTTATGGGAAGCTAGTAGGGAATATAGGAAATCATGGTTATTTGGATGTCACATGCCCAGATTATGATTAAGTGACTACAGAGATGTTGCAATTGCTGGAACTCTGAGGACCATCATAAGTTCCCCTTGTTTCGCACTATTATAACTTTGAACAGTTGAATGAATGGTTGTAACCTAAAGACTACATGTATAGAGCTGCAGTAAGTGAAACAATTTGTATGCAGCAGTCTGTGGCTAGGTGTTTGATTTGATGATTTCAGTTTCTTCTCTAGATGAAAAATTCAGCTGTTCCTAGGGACATGATACAGAGAAGAACAAAGCCAGTATCAGAGATGCATCACTATACAAGCTATAGTCCAATTCATGTTTGTTCAACTCCTTATTCACCTATTAGACAAAGTATGTGCCTCCTTCCAATGTCATTTGAACTCTGTTTGAATTTAAAACTTTATATCATATTCTAGTGGTGTGGGCTTAATCATATTGTAATTGCCAATTCAGAAATTTGATTCCTTCACTATTGTCTCAGTAATGTGTGTGAACTGTAATTTTATTATTTAGAAACCTATATAACGTAATGGGATTTGGAATGCTCTCCATTATCTCTTTGTGAAGACTTGGAACAACTTTTGTAGCAGACCATTGCCATCTTGTGGTCTTCCAGGAGTATGACATTTTCTTTTAAAGTTTTAAGTTGTCACACAATCTGAGCTATTTGAAACATCTTCAATTTTGAATGTCTGCATTGTAACATTTAAAATTAAAAGGAGAGTTTACATTTTTAAAAAATAAAGCTTGATTTTGTTTGTCACTTGTGAGAATGATATGTCTCTAAAGGAAATTTCTCTAGTCACAATCCTACATACTCTGTGGTCCACAGTTGACATTATAGAAATTATTTTAAACCAGTATATTTTAACCCTTTAATTATCTAAACTACAGCACAGGTGGTGAGGATCCTTTTTTAAAAAACAATATTAAAGTTAAGAAATGAGGTGGCCCTTGAATGGTAGGTGGTAGTAGCAGGAATGACTAAGCGACTACCCCAAAATAGGAGAGAGCCAAGGTATGAAGATGTAGAAGGCATCTGGAAGATGAAATTTGAGAACTCCAGATTTCCACCTTATGGACTCAGGCATTCAATACATTTAGTCCTTGACTTACAACACTTCATTTAGTGACCATTGAATGTAGTCACATGATCAAAATTTAGGTGCTTGGCAACTGACTTGTATTTATGACAGTTGCAATGTCCCAGGGTCATGTGATCACCTTTTGTAAAATTCTGACAAGCAAAGTAACAATGGGAAAACCAGATTCACTTAACAACCTTGTTACTCAACAACAACTGCAGTGATTTACTTAACAACTGTGGCAAGAAAGGTTGTAAAATGGGGCAAAATTCACTTAACAAATGTCTGACTTAGCAATATAAATTTTGGGCTTAATTAACCACATCTCTGGTTGAAGATGCAGCTAAGGGTGTCTTCTTGACATGATGCTCTGTTTGGGAGGTAGAATGAGTAGCTGCCTGGTTGTTCTTGATTCCCTAGCCCAGTTGCCTTCAAACTTTTGGTGCCAGGGACCGCTTCTGTGCAGGGTGCTTTTTCCCTGGATCCCACTTGTGTGCAGATGCTGGTCTGCACACCGAGGGGTCCCCAGGCACAGCAGCCCACTATCATGCTGTGGTCTATTTGCAACCAGGCCATATGAGCGGTGGGCCAGCACACACAGGCATGCACGCAGCTCATCTTGCATGAGCGGCAGGCCAGCGCACACGCGCATGCACGCCGCTCATCTTGCATGAGCGGCGGGCCAGTGCATGTGTACATGCACATGCAGCTCAACTTATGCAAGTTGAGGTGTGCAGGTGTGTGTGTGTGTTTGTGCGCGCGCATGCACGCACGCTGGCCTGCCCCTCAAGCAAGTTGAGTGAGCTGGTCCGCCACTCACATAGCCTAGTTCCCTTCTCTCCCCCCCCCCCCCGTGCTACCAAGCCACAAAGTTTGAGGACCACTGCCCTAGCCAATATCAGGGAGTTGATTGCTTGGACCTTCAATTCTCTACATAATAAAAAGGTCTGAATTATTTCTCCAAAAGAGTAAAATGCAAGATCATGAAAATAAATAAAATTGGTCTGCATTTTGGGATGGGGTGTTGGAGAATTTGCATTAGCAAATTAATTAGACAAAGTTAGTATAGTGGTAGATATAGTGAAAATTGGAATGTTTGCTGTTATCCATCTATGGAGTTTGGCACCAACTAGTAGCATGCTGGAACCTGTTGCCATCCATCAGGTGTTAACATTGCAAAAAAAAAATCTGGCTTTCAGGAGTTGTTCAATTTCTCAGAATGCTCCTGTTGACACATTCCAGATAATGATACTGAACCAGGTGTACTCAACACCCACAACCCATGACATGCAAAATAGTATTTTCATCTTCCTCCTCAAAGCTGAATATAGATTAGGATGGATGTAGAACATTAAAAGCTAAATTTAGATTACATTTAGTAAGAAAATGCATACCACCATCATATATATTGTAACCCAGTTCCTAGACATTCAGAATGTCATACAATCCTTAGTTTGTATCATACTGTTCATCTAGTGTGGTCATTAGGAAAATACCTCTTGACAGACTTAACATAAAATATGGACGTAAGATGAAGTTGAATTTTCCTTCAAGATCTTCAGTATGATTGTTTTAAGCATATGTATTATGATGGTTAGTATTGTTTTTGCACACATATTTTAATCATTAGCTGCCAAAAAGTAAGATATAAAATAATTAAGGCCGGATACAAAGAAACAAGCATTTTAAAGTAGTATTACTATCTTGTTTTTTAGATGGCTTAGAAATTATGGATGCCACTTTCCCATTAAGCAGCAGTTCTTCACCCAATGCGTCAGATGCTAAAACAAGCAAGGTATAGGTTTTGCAAACACATGTATACATGTATATACAGATACCATGCATTAAATTGCATTTTGTTTATTTGTCTTTATATAACCATAAGACACCATATTATTTCCATTGCATTATTCCATTATAATGCTAGAATCTGGTGGAAAAGTATTGCAATTTTGATATTTTTTTTCTCTTTTTTTTAATGCTTTCTAGAAACATGAAGCTGCCGCTAGTACTTTACTCCTGGAAGATAAGATCTCCAACTCTAAGAGGAAATTTTCAGGTAAAATAAAGGAAAATTGGATAAATCTGAAAGAAAAATAATTTTGTCACCAATTTTCTAGTTTTTAAGGAGAAGGATGGTGTCCTCTCTGCTTTCTCTCCCACTGTGCTTTTGTGGCTTGGACAGTTTCCTTATCAACATTTAAAAAGGCAAGCTGTATGGGTCCAAATGATGTGAACAAAGCTTGGTTTGAATTGCAAGTCCCATCAAAATTTCAGTGGCACCTAATATGGTGAAAGTCTAAAGTGGTGAAACTTCCCACTAACTACTGTGTATGGATTTCCTTTTCCAGAATGGTCAGCTGATTTCAATAGAAAACACTCAAAGCACACTGAAAAGCAGCCTAGTAATGAATCCAGCATAATCTTTGAACCAAGAAAACTCTTTTCCTCCATAGAAATGGCAGATGAAACACCAAAAGGTAATCACACTAGAACCCTAGTAACAACATTCCATAAAAGTTTGAGCAAAAATGTGCGATCTGAATCAAATTTCCCTTCAGATAATGATGTTAATGATGGTGTTATCCATTCAGTTGTGACCGACTCTTGGCGATACTATGGGCCAGGTCTCTCCACATCTTGCAATCCTACACTACTTCTTTGAGTTTTTCTGTGCTCTGGCTGGTGTTGGCTTTGATGGTCTGCCTTCAAGAATGGATACAGTAATGAGTAATACACCTTTTTCACTTGTGACTTCTCAAAAGCAAAGGGGGCATTCTGAGGATAAGTTTTTGATCCATTTTTAGCAGCTTTCTTTTTTGCTAACACTCTCTTTAACATAGTCTACATTTGAATTTCATCTGTTCTGACATTGTTGAACTCCTTGAGTATTCCCTGAAAAGGTAGCTTAAGAGACAAAATACATGGTTCATAATCTTTATAATTGATGTCCTGCTTCTAAAAAAAAAGAGGCCTGTGTGTGATTTTAAGAGTTAAAACCATGGAAGTGTTCAACTTTTTCCCTGTGCTCCAATCTTCATAAATATCTCTGGTCTATAACCTGTTACACCACCCCAGAATCAAAGCATTTTGGGAGGTAAGATTGCATCCTATTAATTTCCTTATGTTGATATTTATATAGCCAATTCACTTCTCTGAACAGTTCGTAAGCTGTTGCAATTTAATCAAAAATATTAAAACAAAATACCATGAACAGATTATATACTGAAATTCCCAGATGATGATGATTTCAGAAAACGTTTAACTAAAAGGCCTTTATGAGCAAGATCTCCAGAATGCTAAAATAAGCATCAAGATGAATTATTGTACAGCTGCTGTAAATAAGGGGAGGAGACAGTGATCCTCACAGCAAGGTTTACAACAAAAATTTAAACTTTTGATAAGTGTGGATGACAGATACTGTGTTTCAGATAATTGGCAGTGTTTATTTGTAGAAGTTTCCCATCTTGTACACCATGCCTACAAAGTTAAAAGTTTTCCTATTTGTTCAGTTAAACGCAGATTTGTATTTTTGTGGGCTGGTTATTGTTGCAAATGCTTTAGTAGGAGAGCTGTGCTTCTTTTTTGCAGGCCAACCTTTAAATGAATTTGAGAACGAAGTATTTGCCTCTAAAATACTTAGAGAAGAAATCGATGACTCGGGGGTTATTGCTGCTTTCGAGAATTTTACAAGCGAATTGAAGAAAACATTTTGGGTAATTCTTTTTCCCTGCAGTTAGCCGACAGTCATTTTTCTACTGCGAATAACTTCCAGATAGGCTCACAAATACGTAAACAGATTTTTTTTTCCTGTTGCAAATTCCCTTATGTGCAACCAGTTCTCTCTCCTTCTCTTTTCCTGTCCTCTCCTCTATATCTCTCTTTATATTGTGTAGGCCTTACAGATAATTTAGATCGGGGTTGTTCTTCTTACCACAAATAATTTGTGATTCTAATCTCCCAGTTCTATGACTTAGTTTAGATACAAGAGGATGGAGATTTATACACGCAGCCTCTTGAAGGCACCTGAACAGAATATATCAGCCTTGTTGCATCGGATCCATCAGAAGCGGTAGGTGGTACCCATCTTGTCTAGTATAAGCATAGTGATCTCTTTTCCTGGTAGACGTTCATGGAGACAGACGGGGCTGCTTATGCATTTGGCAAAATAGCTCATGGTTCATAAGATGAAGCTTTGATGCTACTCTGTTCATGTAGGAAAAACACTTATTTTTTTTGGCTAAGGAGTATTTATTTAAAGCATGGTCAAAACAGGATAATGTATACTCTGCCTTATTTTCGTATTTCAGCCCATGACTGTTCTTCCTTTATGTGTTTTACATTGGAAGTACTTCCTTAAACAATTAATTAAACCAATTGCCATAGTAAGTTAGACATTGGTTAGGCTTATTTGTGTCTTGCTGTTGCTTTGTGTGAATTGAGCGTCACGGTAGAATGTGTGCAACAATGCTTTTATATTGTATGCTGTAAAGAAATACAATAATATAATAAATAAAAGCAATAATTGAGGGAAATATCTGCACAGTGGTTAGTTTTAACAAGGCTTCCACAATAAAAAAAAGTTTTGAAGGAAACCAAATCTACCAAAAATATGATTCGCAAACAACTTACGACCACAATTGAGCCCAAAGTTTTTGTTGCTAAGTGAGACATTTGTTAAACAAGTTTGGTCCATTTTACAACCTTTCCTGCCACAGTTGTTAAGTGAATCACTGCAGTTGTTAGTGACACAATTATTAAGTGAATCTGGCTTCCGTTGACTTTGCTTGTTCGCAAAAAGTGATCATATGGCCCTGGGACACTGCAACCATCATAAATATGAGTTAGTTGCCAAGCGTCTGAACTTAGATCACGTGACTGTGGGGATGCTGCAACAGTCATAAATGTGGAAAAACGATCATAACTCAATGTTTTCAGTGCCGGTGTAACTTTGAAATGGTCACTAAATGAACTCTTGTAAGTTGAGGACTACCTGTATTAGATGTTATTCAAATTAGATTGGTTTACTCATCAGTTGACTTCCAAATCAAGCAGTGCAAACGTATTAAGTCACTTGGCAGAAACTGATGAAATGGATAATGGCATTTACATTTTGCTCTAGTATATAGCAATATCAAGATTCATTTTGCTAATGAAATACGTATCTTCGATATATCCGCTACAGACTGCATGAACTGGAAATCTTCCACAAGAGTGTTGTTAACGAACTTGCCAACCTTGAGAAGAGAACAGAGTTTCTCTCAAGCCTTGAAAAGGATACCATGGTATGTGTGGTTATTCTCTCTCCATTGTTGGTTAACTGATTTTAATGCTTTGTCATCTGACTCACATTAAGAAAATTTGTTACAGGAATTTTGGACAAAACAATCCAATAAACTGAACTGTAAGCTGAATGCATTTTGCATTCATCAGATACAGAGGTATTTAATTGTTTCCTGTCTGTCCAAAAAGCACCATTAACGTTTCCTTTGCACATCTTTTCTCTTGGATGTGGGTTCAAATATCTCTACCTCACCATTGTTAGAATGTTTTATACTATAAATTAAAAGTGACAAATATCAAGAAATGGATGGTACTTTCTTCTCCAGTGCTACTTGCAGTTTTCCAGAGCAGTTTGAGTAAAGTGGTGCTTCTTTTTTAGGTATATAGCAATAGTACTTAGACTTTTACAGTGCTTTACAGCCCTCTCTGAATGGTTTACAATGTCAGCCTATTTCCCCCAACAATCCGGGTCCTCATTTTACTGACCTTGGAAGGATGTAAGGCTGAGTCAACCTTGAGCTGGTCAGGATCGAACTCCTGGCTGTGGGCAGAGTTAGTGTGCAATACTTACATTCTAACCACTGCGCCACCTTGGGTGGTTCACATATACAGTATAATTTCCCAGCTATGCACAATCCATCGTGTTGTACCCTGAATTGCAAATCCTATATTGGGCAGAGACCTCCAATTATATTACCTCTGATATTTTACCTGACACATTCAGTTTTTTGTACTAGAGGTGAAAGACCCTATCATATATTGCACAAGTAACAATGAAATTTAGATTGCAGTCTTTTGTTTTAGGGAAAGCAGTCATAGTCCAGGTCTGTTGTACGAGTGAAATGGGAACTAGGTATATAAACTTCAGTTTTAAGCAGTTCTGTTTCCACTTTGCACATCTCAGTTGCTTCTGCTTTGCCTTTTATTGCAGGATACAGTCCATGGATATACTGCTGGAAGACACAGGGGGCCTGGATGGAACAATTCACAATGAAAATGTATGTGTGTATAATTCAGTATACATTTTAACAATGAAACTTGAGAAATGTAAGGATTAACAGATTTCAGCTGAGTATGAAGATATATTTTTACTAAACATTTCATGTAGAGATTAGTATCTGGTCTCTAGTTACCTACATGAGCAATGCTCTCAGTTTGACACCCACCAGATAGACAGATTGTGGCTTTTTCTGTGTGATCGGTTGGTATAAAAACTGATAAAAATTGTATTTTAACTCGTGGTTAGTTTTAATTTCTGTTGAAAAATGTCAACATAAATGATGAAATGGTTTTCTCTCTTTTCCCACAGGATGGAAAAGCCACTGACCAGACAGAAGAGGGGAACAAAAGTGGGGCTGTTGTCTAATTTAAGTTTATCTTAAATGTAAGCTTAAGCAACACTCATCAAATATATCAAGTCACTTGAAAATACACATGAATATATTCAGTAGTAATTGTCTCATTATTCAGCGCAATCAAACATTTTCAGTTGTTTCTTGGCCATGAGGTAATGCTGACTAGTTTTTTTGTGGAACAAAACCCTTCAAATTCTGTTTTGAACCACAGCAATCAGCTACATGTGTGTATATATATAACCACAGCAATCAGCTACGTGTGTGTGTGTGTGTGTATTAAATACTGATTCCTGTTTCTAACTAGAAACAATTGTTTGTCTGTTTCCCCCCATTTTTATGTTGGAGACTGTCACCAGCTTTCACAGACGAAAAAATTAGGTACTGTAAATCCTCAACTTACAATTGGTCACTTAGCAACAGCCCCCCAAGCTGCTTATGATGCACTTCTTAAGTTCTGATGGCCACATTTTGTGCACTCAGCAACTGAATCACATTTATGGCTATTTGTAGCACCCTGGGGTCAAGTGATGTTTTTTATGTTTTTGCCAGAAACCAGTGTTCATTTCCAGTTTCCGGCAAAAAAATGAGGTATAGCAAATAATGGACTTGCTTAACTAGTGCAGTGTTTGCTTTACAACTGCTGCATTCACTTAATGATCACTGCAAAACAAAGTAAAATCGGGCCGGTAACTTGATGTCCTGCTTTACAACCATCATGACTTATCATAATTACTAGGGTCAATCAGGGTCATAAGTCAAGGACTATATACAATATCTGAGGTGAAACCGTCTGGATGACTACTAGACTACTACTGCTACCAGACAAATGACAAGTTTACTATATCTTGTTTTGGCATCCTTTTAGGAATTGTGAAAGACCCACTTCAGCCTGTTTTGAGTACCTTAGAAAAGAATCTTCTAAATTAGGGGTCCCCAATCTGTGGGCCGCAGCCGGTACTGGGCCGTGGCGTACTGGCCATTGGGCTGCAGGACAGGTTAGCCAGTGCACACACACACCCCTACTCACGCTAGCGCTGTGGCTGTGGGGCATGAAAATAGAATGCCACATTAGGGCGCAAAAACAGGCCCTGCCATGCCTTGGAATGGGAAAATGGGATGCCGCTGCGCCGTGGGGTGCAAAAACGGATGCTGCCACACTGCAGTGTGTGAAAACAGGATGCCGCCGCGCCTTGGTGCAAAAAAGGGATGCCACCACGCTGCAGGGCACAAAAACGGGCACTGCGGAATGCAGAAACGGCGCTATGTTGTGCAAGAACAGGGCAAGACTAGCAAGTATCAGGCAAGCACTAGCCCTGCCCATGTGCATCACCCACATGCTCATGGCCCCATGCGTGCGCAAGTAAAATGCTTCCCCCTCTCTTTCCCTCTGGTCCACCAACTGAGAAAGGTTGGTGACCTCTGTTCTAAATCATTCCTCCATGAGCTTTAAGCATAACTTTGCATTTCACTTTATAAGAGTGTGAATCCTTTCTGTTTCCACTTGTTCACCATAATCCATGGAAAAACAATTTGCCAAATGTTTCACAAATCTTGAAAATCAATGCGGTATCCCTGCAGTAAGTTGGTGAGCCAAACAGCAAAGAAAGAAACTAATGATAAAATTGTATCTCTAAAGAAAACTCAACAGTTGGTACAAAAATTATTTTCTACATCTGCTTGAAGGAGAAAGGCTGTTAACAATAAAATATGGTATAGGTTTTTATAGGGTTGAAGAAAGGAACTGAAAGTTAACAATGAATAATTTGCCAGCTATGCGCTTGAAGCCATTTCAGTGCCAGATGGACAAAAAGAGAAGACGTTAAAATATGTTGCTGTAAAACATCATTTATTTTCAATAGTCAATGTTTACAAGAAAATCATTTTAAAAGCCATAATCTTGGTTGTGATTCAAAATAGCAGCATTTTGATTGGTTTTTCTGCATTCAGTGAATACCTGAATGTAGCTTATTCAAACGGTTTTAAATGTTAACAGGATAACATTTTTTCAGCCCTTTAAAAGCTTGGTTAAGCTTAATCATTAAGGCAGTGTTGGGGGGGGGGGTTTGAAACCATCAAGATGAGTGAGACAATCCTTGTATAATTTACTATCTCTAATATTCACTGACCTGTGGAAAGGTTTCTACGAGAATCCCTTCAGTGACTCATGAATATTGTTCATTATGGGTCCTCCCCGTTACAGACTTACATTGCTGACTTACTTGGGTTAAACTCTCTTCCTCAGTTGTTACCCTCAGTAAACCTTTCAGTTCTCAGCACTCCCAATCAGTCAGATCAGAACTTGGCAACTTTAAGGCTTGTGGACTTCAGCTGCCTTATTTCCTCAGCCAGCCATGCTGGCTGGGGAATTCTGGGAGCTGAAGTCCACAAGCCTTAAAGTTGCCAACTTTGGAGACTCGTGGTCTAATGCATCTGATGGAATGAAGTTCTTCTAGGGCAGTGGTTCTCAACCTTTCTAATGCCGCGACCCCATAATACAGTTCCCCATGTTGTGGTGACCCCCAACCACTTATATATCACCGGGTGCCAGGGGCGTGGCCAAAGAAAAGGGAAAAAATGGCAGACAGCCTTGTTTGGCGACCCCCGTGAAATGGTCGTTCGACCCCCAAATGGGGTCCCGACCCACAGGTTGAGAACCACTTTTCTAGGGTTTTTAGTGTTGACTTTCAGCAGAGAGTTATGGGAAATGAAATGAAACTTATTTTAGGAATTATAATACAGAAATCCTGAATCCTACTATTGAACCTTTCGGAGAAATACTTAAGCTGAATTGGTGAAAAAATGTTTTCAGTGAATCTCTGTCCACTCTGTTTTCGTATCTTCCTCCTCCTGCTATTGGCTGTGGAATTCTGGGAGTTGAAGTCCACATGCCTTAAAATGGTCAAGGTTGAGAAACACTGTGCTATAGGAATGATAATAACGTACTCTTCCAAATTGGTTATGAAGTCAGACACTAAAAATGTAGAAATGGTGTGCAAAATAAAATGTAAAATGATCAGCCAAATACCAACTGTCCCCTATCATCATTTACTTTTAGAATTGATCGTGTCTCTTGTCTCGAGTATGTGGAATTACTAGCTGTGCAAATGCTTCTGTCCACCTGTTACCTATTTCTATAACTATAGAAAAGGTATCGAACTGGATAAAAGCATTTAGCTCTGTCTAGGGTGATTTGGGTAGTCCTATCTTCAGTATTTGAATTCTAATGATATAAAGCTTTTCACATCTCATGTGAATAGAATTTTACTTGGTATCCAAAATGCCAAGTTGGCATACATGGGCAAACTTGCTTTCAGAAATGCTGAGTTACTTTGTTGCATTGCTAGTCTCAATTATAATATTAATGTTAACGTACACTCAACCAGCCATTTGAGTTGCTGAATCGGTTTTAGTTGTCTGTAGATGTGGCATAATGAGAATAGATAGTGTCTCTGTTGAATTTCAAAGCAACAATTGACATTTGGGAATAAAACCAAAATTGTTGGACTTCAGCCTCCAAAGTTAATAACTTTCAGCCCATTGTGTGATAGTCATGGTGTTTAAGGTACATAGCTACTGATATAAACATTCAAGGAGAGGTTTATGGAGCTATTCCTGTTCAGTTTTAAAGCAGTGCATTTTGAAAAGATGGCATACAGACACACTAATGTTCCAATGGTTTCACTGTAGATAAATGTGAATTTGTAATTAATCCCATTGCACTATATATTCCATCCTGTTTCTAGAATGGATGATAAGAGCAATCTATAGCACCATCAAGGCAACGACCAAGATTTTTGAGCAACACAAGATTTTTTCCCCCCTATTATAAATCAAGTGAAACTAAGAGAACACAAAAAAGCAGTGAGCTGTATCACTGAAGTTTGCTACTAGTTTAACTTTTTAGATTCTATTCAAGAATATCCAAATCTTTGTTATTAAAGGGAAAGTTCTCAAGGCATCTTCTCTATATTAAGAATTACAGAATGCAAATTGCCTTCAGCCCGATAAAAGAGGTAAGTGCCTTCACTATTTAATAGTCTATTGTTAAAAAGAAATCATTTAAATGGGGAGTAGAAGAATCAGTTACCACCAAGTTGTACTAAAGTTGTGTATAATAGTTTTGCTTTGTTTTAGAAAAGTGTTGTGAGAGGTATTTGTATTCTACAATGTAATAGTAAAAACATGGTTATTGTACTTTTTTCTTCAGAGCACCATTAATTTCCTTTAGGTAGTTTTTATGGAACCCATTCTTAATTTCTGTCACCAGAGGAATCTCTTTCACGTTAGCTTTTGAAGATGCTTTCTGATATGTCTGAAAAGAAAAGTTAAAAGGGTGATTATACGTGGGTATAAAGAAGCATGCAAATATGATTTGTCTAATGTTTAAACAGCGTGCAGTCTCATGTCAATACAATACTTTTGTACTAGGTTATGCCCACATGTTTTAACATTTTCATATCTTGCTATTGCAAGTTAGTTTGTAGAACTATCCCTTCTGACTTTGTGGAACAGTTAAACAGGCAGCTAAAATTGCATCTTTTCTTTGCCCCTTCCTTCTTACACACCCGCACCCCACCCTGGACATAAATCCAACACTCTTCTGTTTATGGATAGCAGAATTTGACAGAAAAATCTTTCAGCTCATCTTTTGCCCGTTATGCAATCATACTTATCCTGATTATTTCTTGTTATAAGACAACATAATGAAAAAATGGGCGACAATATTTTGTCCTACCATTCTTTCCCACTTTAAGAAAAACTCACAGGCACTAGATTTGCAAAGCTGAGATGTGAGGAGCTAGCTCTTATAACAGCACTGAGTAAACCACTTACGAAGGACAATTAGTTTCTCAGATAACGAAACAACATAGCTTTGGGTACCAAGAGAACGCAATATAACCATAACAGAAGAAGCATAGCCTTAAAGACAAGATAAGTGGGGCATGTGAACCAGCTAGAAACAACATACAGGTTGTGCAAAAAAGCAATACAAATTTCCACAAGGGTTTCTGTGGGAAGATTTAAATTAGCCCAACATAGCATACGAGGAGCAGAAGCTGGATAAAGTTCACATGAGGAATAACTTGCCCTTATTTATATAGCCTTTACCTAAAAAGGGAGAGGCTATATAACCATCTATCAGGTATACTTCACTTTGAATTCACACAGTGAGCAGGAGGTTGTATCCAATAGCCTAAATTCACTTTTTCAATTTTATGAATGCTTTCCTTCTGTTTGGGCAATGAGTCCCATGAGGTTACTACTGATTTGCAGTTAGAACTAAACTGACTATCCCTCTATCCATCAATCCTTAGCAAGTAAGGCTGTGCAGTGCTTTGAAGTAAAGGACAAAAAGGCACTTCAGAGCATGCAGGAATATGCATGTAGCAACTGCTTAAGCAAAGGTACTTAGGCAAAGGTATCTGCGTGATCCTGGAAAGACATGGCTACTTTAATGAGCTGCAGCCAAGTGTTCTTGCAAACTGAGATGTATTTTGGGTTTTCAGATCTGAAATGCTGCAACCTTCTGCCAGATACATCTTTGTAGGTTTTTAAATATTTATTTTCTTTGTCCCATTGTTAGTGGCTATAGAAATCTGATCTGGTTATTAATTTGCCTTCACATTTCATGGGGGAAAGAAGCATGTCAAGAGAGAGCAACAAAGTCACCAATCTAGGTTGGACAATCAAATCAGAAGCAACTTATTACTTAAACTCCAAAAGCAGAGGTGCTTGTATTTCAAGCTTCAACTTTCATTCCTCAACAACAGACCTGTGCATGCACTTCTCCATTTTCTTGCTGCTTGGCTTACCTTGACATAAAAGTTAATGAACAGAACCACCAATGTAGCCATATAGGAGAACTGGAAGATGAGGCATCCAAAGTGAAAACCACAGGGTTTGACAATTGCACTGAGTGTATGCGTAATGGTGAGCAGAAACTGAATCTGTTAAAAGAAAAAAAGCATCACACCAGTTGCAGAATGAATTTGTCAGATTCAAATCGATCCTTATAATACGATCAATATATGTGGTCTGTTCTGCTAAGGCAATGATCTATATAGCCCTACCATAGTTGCTTGTGTTGAAGACTCTGGCATCTGGGGGGAAGGTTAGAACAAAATAAGGGAAAACTAGAATACATCTACATTTACCAACAAGTGCTGCGATGCACATTTATCTTCTAATTTAACATAACTGCTCCAATATCAGCCACTTTGTGTTTCTTGATTTATAGCTGCTCTGCTCATCAAACCTATTTTCTTCCTCTGTCTCACTTTTTGTGATAACTTCAGGGGATAGTCTGGTCTTTCAGATGCTGAAGTATATCTTCCATCATTTCTCATTTCTGATCATGAAGATTAAAGCAAAGGGGAGCAAAGCTCAATATTTAAAGGTCCCATTTTGCCCATCACTGCATTACAGAAGTAGTTGGATTTAAATGTGCATAACATTAACTTCCATGTGTAATAAAAAGCTTTCCGTGGAAGTTTTGTAAAGCTGAATAATCTACTACCCAAATTGATTTTATCCTCAGTTCTATCTTCGTTTCAAAGTGGTTTGTCCCTATAATTCCATCTTGCTTCAACACTTAGGATTTTTACTCTTTAAACTGTGATTACTAAGATCAAATGAGAATATAATTGTACCAGTTGTGCTTGAGTGAGGTATTTCTTCCACCAAAGGTATTTACGCATGGATGGAATGACAGACAGTCCATAGTAGGAGTACATGAGGATGTGGATAAAGCTATTCAAAGTGGGTCCAAAGAAACCTGTGTAAACATAATTAAATAGGTTGTCATATATTCATTATAAAATACTTATTTCTGTGAAGCAGCAGTAACAATTTATGACACTTTTAACTTATTGCAGTTTTCTTAGTATTGAAGAATGCAACTTGATTTCTATGGCACAAATGATTTATCTAAATATGGTTGTGTTAAATTTTTTTCTGCCCTTATTATATTCTGGCTGCAAAATCTGGAAGGCAAAATATTTTCTGCCATTTACTGATCATTTGGAGTACGCCAATGCTACTGTGAGCTACAGGTATTTCCTTACATCTACAGCAATGATTCTTGCAGTGTAACCTGCTGCAGCCTTCCCATGTTCACTTATTCACCTATTGCTGAATGTTTATTCAGATTCAGAGCCATCTTTTGCTCATGTTTACTACAGGTATTGTTACATCCACGCCCTATTTTTTTTTAAATGATGCAGATTGGCAATCAGACAAATTCTATGGGAAAGTTATCCAAGTATGTTGTTTTGCAGTAATCTTAATTGACATCTCTAAATACTCACTTTGTCCACAAGGTATCCAGTTCATGACGCACCACCAGATGTTAAACATAGTGACATGATGATAAACATGAAGGAAAGTTATTTGATTGTTTTTCTTTCGCAAAACAAAGAAAAGAGTGTCAGCAAATTCAATTACTTTGGAAACGTAATACCACCACAACACCCGGGCCACCTGCAAGAAAGAATCTGCAAAATTAATAATGTCATCTTAAAGCAAATATTCAGTTAATTTAAAGAAACCATAGAACGAAATACTAACTCATTTTGAAGATAATTCTACAGTAGCTAAAAATAAAGATTAATGTTGCTGGAAGCATACTTGTATTTTAATTATGATATGTCTAAGAAGGTACACAATGGTTTTTAGCCTCAGTTTCTAGAAGCAGTTACACATCCTGACAATAACCATATATGTCCTTGGAATTAAACTCAAGTTGATTTTATTGGAAATTCGGTGCTTTAAAAATGACTCCGCTTAAAATGCCATGCAGCTTTTCCAAGCCGTTGCTGTTTTAAAACACTTTTTTCTATGTATTTCCTCACACAGATTTTTAAGTTACGCTTCAGCTGCAAAATTAAGCTCCACAGAGGAAAGTACCTTTACTAATCTACTATTTACAGCAAATAAAAAACAATCTACCTGTAAATGCCAGTTACTGATGTAAACTTTCTTTTAATAGAAGGGTATAACTGACTTCAGAATCGATGAGCATGGAATTTATTCCAGTCTAGGTAAATCTATAATTGGGCAGTGTACAATCTAGAACAGGGCTTTTCAGCCAATGGTACGGGTACCACCTGTGGTACATTGGCACCTGACAGGTGGTACGCGACCATCCTAGAAAAGTGGTAGCAGGGGAATGAGCTGAACTGGTGGCAGCACTGCACAAGCCTGAGTGAGAGATGGCTGGAGTTGCAGGGTTGTCAGGGCTCAGTGGAAGCACCAGGATCAGTGCCGCTTTCCAGCTGATCGGCACTTCTTCGGGGCTGTCAGGGCTCAGTGGAAGTGCCAGGATCAGCACCAGGCTCCAGCTGGAGCTCAGTGCTGATCCTGGTGCTTCTGTTGAGCCCTGAAGACAGGACTACCTGTACTGAATCCTCAAACACAGGGGTCCCCAACCCCCGGTCTGTGGACCAGTACCGAGCCGTGGCACACCAGCAACTGGTCCACACAAACAAGCAAAGCCCCATCCGCGGGATGTAGGCAGCACACAAAACCACACAGCCTCTGGTCCATGGAAAAAACCTCTCTCCACATAACCAGTCCCCGATGCCCAAAAGGTCGGGGACCTCTGCTCAAACACAAAACCAAAACTGAAGCTGAATGGTAAGGAAATGACAAAGGTGTCATTTAGTTCCAGTCAAGTTATTTGATTTGCATTTTACCAGGTTTCAACTAATAAAAGCACCCCCTCAAGCATTGTGTGCTAATTACGTAACCTTTCAGGTCTTCCAGAATGTGTGGAAAGCCTCTACGTTGACTTCCTAGTCAGGCACCTAAATGGATGTAGGAGAAGGAAGGTGCTGAACTATGGTGTCAAAGGCATAATCACTCATTCTCACCCTAGGTATAGGCAGTTGTTAAACGAATCACTGCAGTTGTTAACTTAGTAACACGGTTGTTAAGTGAATCTGGCTTCCCCATTGACCTTGCTTGTCAGAAGTTCATAAAAAGTGATGACATGATCCTGGGACACTGCAACCGTCGTAAGTATGAACCAGTTGCCAAGCATCCAAATTTTGATGGGGATGTTGTAACAGTTGTAAGTGTAAAAAATGGTTGTAAATCACATTTTTCAGTGACGCTGTAACTTTGGATGATCACTAAATGAACTGTTGTAAGTCGAGGACTATCTGTACAGTGCTTCTTCACCCAGGCAAAGAAGGACATGGTGTTGTAAAACGTGTCTGTCACAACGGAGCATAGTAAACCCTTCTCTAAAATATTATTTTTAGAGAAATAATTTTGATGATGATTTTGCCATTAAAAAGCAAACAGCTGTACCAGAATTTTAAGATTAGGAAAATGAACCTTGTGCACAAATGTAAGGAATAATAAAAAATATATGGCAAATAAAAATTCCAGTCACTGAAATTTAAGTACGCAGAAGAGTGTTTTCCCAGCCTTTTGGACCAAGAGATTAGGTGAGTTCTACTGCTGATGCGATTTTTTTTTTTTTTAATGATTGGGATTATTGATTTGATCTTGGGCATCCTGTAACGCCGACTGTTTTAATCCATGTTATGTCACCCAGAGTCACTGCTGTAAAATGGGCAGTCATATAAATCAAGCACAGATAATGCAATCGCATACAGTACATATCTGTCCAAAGTAAGCTCAAAGAAATTCAATGAGACAATAGCTGCTAAGTCTGCCCCAGTTTGTACAAAACATTATATATAAAGTATTACAGGAGAAAATTTCAATGTAACACTCTCCAAATGCATTAACGGTCTTTGCAAGAAATATTAGGGTTTCAGATCCCACACCCTCACAGATTGCATTGCTGGAATCAAATGCATTAAATCATGTGTGAACACATTAGTGTTCCCTGTTTATTAAATTTCTTTTACCCTGAGGTCAGCTTCTCCTGCGCTGGTCAAGTTCTGACATTGTAAGTTATAATTTCCTTCCCGTGTAGCAAGAATTAGCTGAAAGAGAAAACATATTTATTATTTTGAATGGAAAACAGTGGTTTTAATAGTTTTTATGTTTTTAATATTTTTGTTCTTATGGTTTCTTTTTATTATTATTTGTGTTTTTAATTTTGTAAGCCTCTCAGAGTCACATATGTGAGATGGGTGCCTATATAAATAGAACAAACAAACACCTAAATAAAATCTTATATTAATTATGGCACACACTTGGGATTTAAGTAAGAGATAATTTCAGTTTTAAGCATATTAATAAAATAAATCTTCATCCAAGTAGTTTCTCTTAGAATTCTTGATTTCCCAAAGTCAGCTACAATCAATTCTCTGGTAATATTCCTTTGCATTTTTATGCAGATGACTGGAACTATTCACCCAAATTTCCCAAAACTATAATTAAACTGAATTAACATAATAAAGTGATCTTTGTCGAGAAATTTAATAAAAATTTGCAGCAAAACTGAAATAGTTTAAATTTACCTTAAACTTTGACAATTCAACTCCATTGTTATTTTGAATGTGAGGAAATAATGAAACAGTGTTTTTCTAGTAAGCATTTGTTAATTATGTAAGCGGTGTCATCTCCTATGACAGGGGTCCCCAATCTGTGGGCTGCAGCCGAGTACCAGTCTGTGGCCTGTTGGAATGGCTGGCGAGTGTGCACGCACCTTTCCCACTCACGCTAGTGCTGCCATGGGGTGCTAGCGGCCCTGTTTGTGTATGCGTGGGGGTGCTAGCAACGATGACGCCAGCATCACACGGGCACTAGTGGCCGGTTTGTGCATGTGTGCAGGCACCAGCACCACCACCAGTGCTGCTGTGGGTACGCGTGGCCCACTTGTGCATGCACGTGGGTGCTAGTGCTGCCATGTGCACATGCCCGTTTTGCTCATTTCCCTGCTCCTCCCTTTCCCTCCGGGAACCCAACCTGGAAAGATTGGAGAGCTCCACCCTACAAGATGCCTAACCCTTGTAAGTATCATTGTTGATATGTGGTTGTTTGCCAGAGTTTGGATTAGATTTTTGTTAACACAGGGATAAGGAAGAAAGTAAACGGTTTTGGAGTTTTTAAGATAATATTTAGACCAGTTTTCTCTTTTTTTTTAATTATTAATTTTTGAAGTAATTTTATGTATTTATGTATCTATTTATTTATTTAGAAAATTTACATACCCAACTCACAATGATCCCAGGTGGCTTACAAAAGTAAAATATTACAAAATACAAAAACCAATTAAACCCCCGTGCCTCTGGTGACAATAATCAGACAATTGCCCGATGGACTCCGTATCACCCTGAGGTCCCAGGCTCATTGGCAGAAATGTATTTTCAGGACTTTTCAAAAGACCATCAAAGTGGCGGGTGTGTGTATGTGGGGGGGGGTGTCAATCTTGTTTCTATAGGGATGATGTACTGCAGGGAGCGATCCACTATGGCAGGGGTAGGCAACCTCGGCTCTTTTATGACTCGTGGACTTCAACTCAGAATTCTGGGAGTTGAAGTCCACGAGTCATAAAAGAGCCAAGGTTGCCTACCCTGCACTATGGAGAAGGTCTTTCTTCTTGGTTCCCTTAGTGGACCTCCTAAGGGAGGGGACCTATAATATTCCTTGCCCCCCCCCCCGCCTGCTCTGATGGGTCAAGCAAATATGATTGGGAAAAGCCAGTCCTTATTATACTTAGTTTGAAGTATTTATATTTTTATTTTGTTAACTAGTTAAGCATAAGAATAGGAATAAAGTAAGCATTTAATATAAAAATCTGGAAATCACAAAACAGCAAACATTTGATAACAAAAGGCAGGCACGTATAAAAAGATCAAATGCAATCTCACATAGAGGTATAAATCTGCTATGCTAGTGATCTGATGAAATGGCTCATTATTTGACAGTGCCCCTTGCCTTCTGAAATGGTTTGGTTTCAGAGGAATGCAAAGGGAAGCAGATGGAAAGAGCAACATGATTCTTGCCTCCTGAGAGATATTTTTGCAGGAACCTAATGGAGTGCATATTTCTTAGTCATAAGAACAGCCTGGGTATCATTTGTCATGCTTACAAGTGGCGCAAAGTTATGAAGGCAGACAAGAAACCTGAGATTTTTTGTTTTGTGGATTCAGCTGGAAGGTTTAACTAAAAAGCTGGTGAAGCTAAAATCCTAGAACCAAGTTTGCAAGGAACTTTTCTCCCTTATATTCCTCTCTTTCACTGCTAGAATTAATTCTGGGGTTGTAAACAACAACTTCCATTTAACGTGTACTTTGGAAGGATGACAGAGACACAAATCAAGAATTCTTTCTTTCTAAATGATCTTTTTGCAATTATTTTGTCTGAGTCAGCAATCTGTTTGCTACAAAATTATGTTTAGTTGAAAAGCAGTCGTTTATTGCTTACTTATTACCATAACACATATTGCTTGCTTATTGCCAGAACATATATTGCAAACATTAAACAGAGTAGGTCAGTTACTATAAATAAAGATCAAGTAAATATAGTCCATCTTGACTTATGAAGGAAGTGGCAAAAGATATAAGCACCTCGGTGAGTCACTCAGATTTCTTTCCTAATATTTATTATTGGCTAAGACAGAGAACTTCCTGAGTAAATTCTGCTCATTGGCAGGTGCCTAGAGTTGCTATGATGCAGTGCTACTTGAAGCAAATGATCCATAAATGGTACAACTAAGGTCTTAGTTTCAAAATGGTCAACATTTCAACATACATCTGGACTGGAATCTAAAACTCCAAACTTACTTATCTTACTTATCATTTTATCCCTTTCTGTATTGCATGAACGTAAATAATATAAAACTTTTTTCTGTGTGGTGGTATCGTGATGAGGTAGGATAAGTCAAGCGTTTAAACCAAATCCAAGTTTAATTAAGGCTGAAAGGAGATGTTTTTTGTTTCTTTTCAGATAGATTCAGAAGGAACTGTGGAGAAAATCAGTGGAGAATCCAAAAAGCAAATCTAGGGCAGGAGAGGAGGTCCTGTATCACTGCTTTGTTGGAGGAACAATCCAGATTTCCTGCTTTGCCGAAGCTCTGCTTTCTATGTAGGTTGCCTATTTTTAGATGCTCTTCAAAGAGCTAGTTTAATCCATGGTTTTAGATGGGCTGCTGAGATATAAAGTAGGCAGTACTTAAAGACAACAGCGCCTCTATCCCAGAGAAATAAATTATTAGAATATAGTGTATGATATGGACTTAAGCTGAATAATCAAAATATGGTGCCTGTCATCCATGATGAGAGAAATGATGTCTGAAACTATGGTCTTTGCAATACTACTAGGCATTGTTGTGGTTTTTAATAAACCAGCTATTAACATGTCTGTTTTCCAGGAATATCCCTGGAATATTCAAAAGTCTGACATTTAAGCATTCAATGGAAGACTAAGGAAAGGCATTTGCCTGCACTTTAGCTAGAAAAAGACTGTCCCTGCATACTCTGATGGCAACAGTTACTGTTTAATTGGCTAGTGGTTGACATCCAGGTTTAGTTGAGTAGGAACAGCTATATCCAAATATGTGCTATTGCATAAAATCAAGAGATTGTAGAAAGATTATTTTTAAACAGAATTTCATTAGAAAAATAGCAGTGTACTGGGAATAGAGAAGTACCGGTATGAAATTTGAAATGACCAAGAAAGATCTCTATTTTTATAGATAATGATTGATAGATAGATAGATAGATAGATAGACAGACAGACAGGATAGATAGATAGATAGATAGATAGATAGATAGATAGATAGATAGATAGATAGATAGATAGATAGATAGATAGATAGATAGATAGATAGATAGATAGATAGATAGATAGATAGATAGGGAGGCAGGCAGGCAGGCAGGCAGGCAGGCAGGCAGGCAGACAAGATAGATAGATAGATAGATAGATAGATAGATAGATAGATAGATAGATAGATAGATAGATAGATAGATAGATAGATAGATAGACGATTCTTTCTCACCCCTATAGATGGGGTGTGCCTTCCTCAACTTCACATCCTCTGCCAGAGGCTTGGGAGTTTGAGGGTTCTGTGCAGTATCTTAGCTGTTCCTAGTACTGCACTTTTCTTGACAGACAGCTCCTGGCACCTGTTAGGAGTTACAGCCCTAGTACTTCTCCAGCTTCTCAGACTCCTTCTTCCTGATGTTGCTGTCATATAGCACTGCTACATCTATCACCGCTGTTATCTTCTGTTCTTTTCCTAATACCAAAATTTCTATTACCATGACCTGCTGTTTATCTGGATCTGCCCTACAGAATCTTAGCCCTCTTCATTCTCCACCACTTGTGGAATCTCCCATCTGAACTTGAGAGGGTCTAGCCCACTGTGCAGATGTTCCTGCATACAATGCCACCTACTTGGTTGTACCTTTCTTGTATATGCTGTCCTGCCTGCATCTTACACCCTTCCACTATGTATTGCACTGCCTCTGAAGTCCCTCTGTATATTTTAAACAATGGGTCCTATCTAGTGCGGTACACCCCTGCTTTTATGGATCTAATGCTTAGTGCCTGTTCTTATGCTGCTGTGTACAGTGCCTTGGTGTTGTTATTTACCCCTATTAAGTCATAGAGATCACAGAAATTAAAAGAATAGACATTCCTGAATGTACAGCACAGATGCATTTAAAACATCACACAATTCTACTTTGGGAAGGTTGAAGTTAATTTGACCCAAATAAATAATTCTTACCAAATCCCAATTGTTTGAATTAAAAGAACAAGAAAAGAAAGTTGTGCTCAGTTAAGAAGACATACCTCTATCAGCATGTAAAACGATAGCATTGTGACTCCAAAGTTATACACAATAAGAAGACCCCTGAGAGACAGAGCAGGCCTGTTCTTCATAAACATGGTGCCCAGCCATATCAAGAGCAGATATAGCATGGAGAGAGCAAAAGTAGGTAAGTATGAATCCAGCATAAGCCACCCTCTGACCCTGGGATCTGAAGAAATGACAATAAAATATACCCCAATAAAAAAATTAATACCATGATCAGTTCTTGCTTATTCTTTTAATACTCAATTAAATTGTTAGGTATTATAATCATATATTATGGTTATAATATACATACTCATATACACATACAAACACATATTTGCATTTGCACATAAAAAAAATTAAATTTATGGGAAGCAGCTATCATATCCTAGTCATACTATAGCAGCTAAGCTGTCCACCATAGCATAGAGGGTTATTTGTAAAAAAAAATATTATGCTAGGGCAAATAACAATAATTATTTGATGTACTGTAAATGATTTGTTTAAACTACAGGTAATCCTCGACTTATAGCCCCAGATGAGCTCAGAATAAAGTCCTTAAATTGTTGCTGTCATTAAGGAAGGCATCCATGCAATCCCGGCTCTCCCCACTGTGGTCATTATGCAGAGCATGGAATGCCTTAAGGAGTTGGAGAGGCCCTGAGTTGCTGAATGAATGGTCACAAGTAGAGGATTACCTGTATAAAGCATGGCTGCTAAATGTATGATAATAAACTAGAAGTAGAAAATCTGTTGAAACTGTTGAAAATTTAAACATCCTTTTACGGTGTAAATCCACTGAGCTAAAAAAGCTTTTATTTATAAGCAAAATATACGTAGGTTCCTGAGAGCTGTTGGAGCCACTGTCCCTGTTTAGGAGTCACAGCCCTGAGTGCTCCTACGAACTACTAGGGCAATTTGGCCTTACTTGCCACATCTTCCCCAGTTCCTCCTTCAGACCCCGGTACTTCTCCAGCTTCTCATACTTAGCACTTAGACTCATATACCGCTTTACAGCCCTCTCTAAGTGGTTTACAGAGTCAGCATATTGGCCCCCAATAATCTGGGTCCTCCTTTTGCTGATCTTGGAAGGATGGAAGGCTGAATCAATCTTGAGTAAGAATCGAACTGCTGGCAGTTGGCAGAATTAGCCTGCAATACTGCATTGTAATCACTGTGCCACCGTGGCTCACACACATGACTCATACTTAACACACACACACACACACACACACACACACATGCACAGAGTATATGATACATAACAGAGAAATTATAAATTTATTAATTTCAGGCTTGATTACTTTTCTTGCCCAATTCTACAGCATGTAAGAATTTACATGAAAATTCCTAAAACTTTTCCTAAAACATGCTGCATGGTAAAAGATTTTCCCAGTCTTTATACTGCTGCAAAATATTCTCTTCAATATACTTGTACGGATGTATGCATTTTGCCCTAATACTTACATTTTAATTGACTGACAAATTCTTAAAAAATGGGCCCCAATTGTTAAGAATGACAAATCAACTGTCCATTAGACAGTCGCTGGTCCTTCAATTCAGTCTGTTTCCACATGTGTTTCACTAGCATCTACTTAATTGCAAAGGAAATCAGGTACTCCTCCCTTACGCGCATGTGTCATTACTGCTGTGTAAGCTGAACGGGCCTCAATTCAAGGTACTGTTTTCATCACCTATGGAGCAGTTCGTGGCAAAGGGCCTGGTTATCTGAAGGGCCATGTATCTCCAAATTTTCTGCCCATTTGGTAAACATGATCGGAAGAGGTGTGCTCCAGGTCCCCTCCATTAAATGTTTTCATCTTGTGGGACTGAAGAACTATGGCTTCTCTGCCAAGACCTCTGGAACAGCATCCCCCTGTGTGCTGAGCAAAGGGAATAGTCTTGACAGACAGAAGGAAGATGAAAGAAGGTAGGGGGAAGAGCATCCAGACTTGCAGGATTATGTTACTATGTCTTTATAATAAAAGTAATACTGACCTGCATGGCATTGGTTTCCTAGCCTGTTCGACTTAGGAGGGCTGACACGTGGAGATTTATATAATTCCCACTCTTCAAGTGTTTTGGAGACCTAGTTCTGCTCCCCAATGTTAGGGTTAGGGTGCTTGTGGAATCCTGTTGATTTTTTTAAAAAAATATTACTTATGAGGTTGAAGGTTCATTCTCTGAGCTTATGGATTGGTTTCTGAACATTTCGTTACCAGGCTAGGTTATATCTTCAGCAGAGTTTAGGGGTAACAAAACGTTCAGAAACCAACCCACAAGCTCGGAGAACAATCCTTCACCTCGTCCTACACCTGAACTACAGATATTCACCACTACTGCAAATATTACTTATGTGGTTTTGTCCAAGTGGTCATGCTTCTTAAATTATGTACTTTTAAATGTTGTAAGGCATCCAGAGATTTTTTGGGGGGATCCAGCAATATCAAAATCCAGCAGAAAATAAAAAGCAGGGAAGAGGTAAACATTCAAATTGGATCCACAAAATCTGCTTCCTGGTCTCTGTCTAAGCGAGAGGGAAGAAAGAATTCCCTTTTCCACATGCTCAAGTGGATTTCTTATCGCTCTTGAACATTCCCAAATTACAAAGAAATGAAGAAAGAATTTTGAAGTCAATGAAATCTTGCCAAATTTAACATTTTAAATTATTATAATCATTTTATTTATTACTCAGCATTGTGGAAGTAAAAGAAAGGAATAGAATTTCTAAAGCTCTCCATCACTTACTGTGCTCAGTCATTCAGATCACATTTTCAGTTATACATTATTTCTAAATACCTGCTAAAACATTGGGCAGCCAGAAAGCTCCAGAAAATGCATACCTCTATCTCCAAACATATAATCCACAAACTCATTTACTTCTTTATCAAAAGCCTTCAGCTGTTCCTAAAAGGTAAAAGAAAACAGGAATTGTATTATATTATACATTATATAATGAATTATATTCATTATTTGTTCATATTCATATCAAAGATGATAGATGATTGATGATGATAGGCAGACAATCACAGCAGAAAAGGTGAATGCCGAAGTATGAAAGCATATAATCTGAGAATGCAAACAATTTAATGATCCATTTTCAATATTTATATCTTTAAAAAACCATTTGTGTGTATGAAGAATATATATTAAGAAAAAAATAATAATCTAAAAAATAGACATCAGATTTGAAAAACATTGTCTTTAATCATGAGGTTCCTCAAAGCTCTTCACTGTTGTTTTAACTTTTAAAACAAGGCAATGTGTGTCAATAATATAAATAAATAAATATTTTGGTTTTCTTGTGTTTTAACATCTGGAAGCTAACAACAGAAACAATTAATTTCTTATATTTATACATCTTAATAAAAATGAGCAGTAATTTGAGAACACATTTAAACAAACAGTGTTGAGTGATTTCAAGATTTCTTTTAACCTACAAGAATAGGCCATCTGGCATTGGCATTGGAACTAAAGATGGCAACATTTGTCAATTTGAATACCTCCTTTTAAAGCAATCTAGGAAGAGTATAATTTGCATAATAACATTTTAGAAGAGATTGTGATACTTACAGAATATTTTAATGGCATTATTGGCTGAAAGGGATCCTTTGCCATAACAAGCATGATCTGATTTGATCAAGTTCAAATTTTAAGTCATTCTGTCAAAGTTTATTGAGATTTTATCTTTTGCCTGATATAAAGAGTTTTATGTAATATTGAAGACTGATAAATGATTGCAATTGATAATTTCTGGTAAATACAAAATCTTCTAACTGCTCTTATTTGAAATTGAGTTAGAATTTGTGACTAGTCATTAGCAAAATATATTCAGAAATAATATAGTTAGTCATTTATTAAAAGGAAAAATCAACAGAAATGTAAGCGTAGAAGTATGAGAGAATCTCAAACACCAACTCTGTAATTAAGGAGGATTATCCTACCAATTTAGTAAATTAGAAACCAATTAAACAAGCACAGATTAAATTAGAGCTATCTGTTCTCAGTTTCTATTAGCAACCAAGCAGAATTTAGCTATATTATGTAACTTTTTTTAAAGAAGGATCTGATTATTGTCATTTCAAGGTGGGGGGAAGGAATCATAAGTAGGACTAACAATAAATTTAAAGAACCTCTGCAAAGGATACAGCAACAATTATGACCACTGTCCCACAGTCACAAGGATATAAGGGTTGCGTATATGGAGTTTTCTTAAATGTGCTGATGAAATGTTTCTATAACATGTGGGAACAGTGAGCAAATCAGGATACATTGCTGCCTTGGAACACTATAACTGGCTCCCTAAAATTCATGGATATTTTGTTCATTCTATCATTACCTACCTACATAATTTCTTCAAGAACCAACCTAGGCCATTCACATCCATCCCAAAAGCATAAAGTATTCAAGGGGATAATCCAGGATGCCCTGCTACAAAGTTAATTTAAAAGTTAAGCACAAGATGAGGGAGACATCTTACTGTATTTTAAATTGTCTCTAAATCTTCTCCATTAATTGGCCCAATGTACTGTACCTGACACAAGTATTAGGACATAACCTAGAAATGAGAGTAAACAAATGCAGATTTATCAGTTAGTCCTTATATTTGCTTCACAGGTTTTCTGCAGGACAAGATCAGATGCATAGCTGAAGATAACAAAGGCTACTTAAGGCAACAATTTAATATTTTTTAACTAGATGGCATTATACCAGTCCTTGTCCGTGGTTTGTTGAGTAGCTCTGAAGTTGTTTGCTTCTCCCACTAGAGTGTTTCTAGAATGCAGGCAATACAATAACTTCTAGAAGTTTTGAGGGTTTTGCTAATAATACGTAAAATGCTAATTGGATTATAGTTGCCCAGATTGTTCAATCTAAAAATCACAGTCCCAACTTTTAGGGATACATGCCAACAGTTCAATACAGATAAAAAGACATGCCAAATTAGGACCCACCATTCTATATTATTTTTTATTAGGTTGCAGTCCACAGTTCTTCCTAGTTTCTGTTGTTTCACTAACCTGTATATTTTAAAAACTGAATTTGAGAGTCATTTAGAGAGAGCCATTATCTAACTCAACTAAAGAGGGGTGGGAAAGACTCTCGGCAATAATAAATTTTCAAACAATCAAATAGTTATTCTGATAAATTTTTATTCTGATTCTTCATACTCCATGTATTGGACAGATTTGGCCCTGTGGAGAAGACATGCATGGTCAACAGCAGAAAATTCAGTGGTCTTTACTTTGTTATTCTTTTCGACAATGGCAATTTTCTATTACATGTTAGTAGCAGAATTGAACTGCAGTGTTTTAGTGGCATTTAAACATAGCATTTCTGATGTCAGATAATATTGGTGGTGGTTCTTTTCTACAGGACCCCAGATTATTGGCTATTGCATTTCATTCAAGTGCATGGTCTCTGGTAAAAATCAGAAAATTTTCTCTGAAAATCAGTGGCTAACAATTTAGAATAAGTTGACTCAAGACCCACAATTATTAAACTAGTCAGAATAGAAAATGGGTTGCTTTAATAGCTTGGGGAATTACAGTGCAACAGAAAAATGGATAAAGGACTGAGAATGGTAAGATGGGACAAGGCTGAATATATCGGATAACCATAGATTCTTCAGTGAATGCAGATTTACTTCTATGAATACATTCTCATGTTCCTGATATACAGGTACAGTAGTGCTTGTTAGGGATTGGCAACTCCGTCATTAAGCAAAGTGGTTGCTAAGTGAAATTGACTATGCTTATGATCTTATTTCAGCTTTCCTTGGCTTTACGGACCTTTTTCATTTTTTAATGAACAGTCACTAAATGACTCAGTTGCTAAACAGACTGTCTATATTACAATAGCATGTTGTTATACAAGAATGCTCCATGAGCTTTGCCACTATAGATATTAACAAGGTCAGGACAGGGTGCTCTTTAAATGATAAGGTGCTTAAGCAACATATGCTGCCGAAAGACAGGAAACCATGAAAGTATCTTTGAAGGATGTCGCAAATGCTACTATGTTATATTTTGAAACAACTGCAACTGTTTTGTTATTGTAAACCACAAATTCTCAGGGCATAAAGTAAAATTGAGCAGTAATCACCAAACTTGGCAACTGCTGATAGGTTGCAATAAAACTTTGGAAGGAAGAATGATGTGCCATGTGCACTCCCTTAACTTGTAGCCTTCAATTATGATGGAGGATACTATTTTATTATCACGTTGAGGAAAAATTTAAATGTCTATACAGACTTCTGCCTAGAATGAATGGTGATGTCATCTTGTCCTTTTCCTTAAGATACGAAGTGTTTTAGGCTGCATACAGTTTGTTGTATAAGTTACATGGGAAAGCTTTATTTTCCTGTTCTTCTCCATGTATATAGAAGATATACTAAACAAAATATCACATACATCCACACAAAAGTGGTCGTTACAATAAATATTTTTAAAAAGAAGCTGGCTGGAGGGTCACAAAATAAATTTAAACCCACCTTTGCTATTCCTGTTTACCAGTTATATGTGCACATGCTCTAATTTATAATTATATTATGAAAACCAACTTATACAAAATAGTCATAATGTAAATTACTAAACTGAAGTCTAACATTGGGGGCAAAATCTCTGCAAGCCGTCAGTTTGAAAGACTGTGATTCATTTGTATTGCTGAGTGGAAGATGAGAAATACAGAATTTTATTGGAGAGGGATATTTCCCAATCTAAGGGACTTTCCATAAATTGTTATTGTTATCAGTCATTGTACTGATAACTACATGAAATTGTTTTCCAGGAAGCTATTTCTTTTTATAAAATTTGGCTGTTTATAGCTGCTCATTCTAGTTTCATCAGGTTCAGGTAGAGAATTCAAGACTAATTAAACATGAATAAATCAATAAATATTAATAAATGCCAATTGATTTCAATAGGCATACTTCAGGAAATTCTAAATCTGGATTCATCCCCCTGAATTTGATATAATTGCTTTGCCTGCAATACTAGGCTTGAGAAGTTTTGGAGAGAAATTTATTGCAGTGAAGCTACAAGCAAATCTAATCTAAAACAAAACTGTACAGTTAGTCCATCTTTAATGACAAAAATTAAAATGGGCAACTCTGTTTCTATGCAAACGAGTTAAGTGAAATGTCATGTCATTGTGGCTGACTTACAACCTCACATCTACTATAGTTGTTAAATAAATCACCCATAGTCATTAAGCGAACTATCATGTGATCACAGCTTGTAATTTTACTGCTAGCTTTTCCATGAACTCTGTTAGAAGTCAGCTGTGAAGTAGACAAATAATGTTCATCTAACCAGGAGATGCGGTGAGGGTAATAAAAAACCACTGTCGCAAAGCATCCATATCTTGATCACATGACTACAGGAACACTGCAAAAGTCATAGGGGCAAGGAGCAGTTGTAAAGTTACTTTTTCAGTGCTGTTTTAATGTCAAAATATCCCTAAATAGAGCAGTCCTTAAGTGAGGACTATCTGTAATGCAAAGTCCTCCCCTCTTCACTTCTAAGCAGCACAGTGGTTGAACAGCTACTTACTTTGAAGTGAGACCAATGAATTAGCCCTACCTCAGTACTTCACAAAGTGACAAGTATTGTTATGACAAGTAGTGCCCATTTGTACATGCTTACATCCATACATTTATACATAATATCTCAGGGGCTGCCACAAAGAAGAGGGAGTCAAGCTATTCTCCAGAACACCTGAAGGAAGGACAAGAACCAACGGATGAAAACTAACCAAGGCAAGAAGCAACTAGAACTAAGGAGAAATTTCCTGACAGAACAATTAATCAGTGGAACAACCTGCCTCCAGAAGCTGTGAATGCTCCAACACTGGAAGTTTTTAAGAAGAGACTGGACAGCCATTTGTCTGAAATGGTACCGGGTTTCCTG